CTGGCTGTTTTGGAGTTAATGGCGGGATTACAAATTCCTCTTTAACTCTTGGCCTGAATGCTGTTCCTTTGGGAAATGCCTCATGTCCTGCGTTGTTAATGAGGTGGCAGATGTCTGATGGTAGCTGAGAGATTAGGGCAGTAAATGAGATTGCTTCGTGTTTCCAGACAGTGTTTGGAAGGACTTTGTATTCAGGTAATACCAGATCTGGGAAGCTTGAGATGTGTTAACATCCTGTGGTTACCTGTTAGTTTTTGGCACCTTGACAGCGTGTCAGTACAAACTGTGTTTATCCTTTTCCTCTTTTTTAGGTGGTACAGAGTGATAGTAAAAGGGATTCTTAGAAAAGGCTTTTTGTCAGTGTATGTGCTGGACTATGGTAAACATGAGGTTATCAGCATAGATAAAGTACAGCCACTCCTGGATAAATTCAGGAAGCTTCCTTTCCAGGCTATAAAAGCTCAGCTTGCAGGTATGTATTCAGCATCTTCTATTTTTTTGGGGGGGGGGGATGAGCTGGGGGATGGAAGTGTGGTTATGTCTTACATCAGTGGGGGTACCAGGTATGTAGAACTGTGACAGGGATAAAGCTGAATGCTAGAGGCGTTATGTTTTGTTGAAGTAAGCATATGCATACTTGCAAAAACCTGCTCAAACAAGCTTGTCTTTACCATCAACTTGGCATTAACAAAAGCCTCTGTTTTTCTTCTTTACATAAGTAAAGAAGATGGTTCAATTTTACTACTCATTTAATTCAGTGCTCTTAATTAGCATGCATAAAATCAATCATTGTTTAAACCTTCACAGCAGCTACTTTTCAGTGTCACAAATGGTTGTCATTTGATATTTATGGTGGCTCTTAGGCAGAGTACATAGGGAAATAAAGGCCAAGTGCTGTGGGGGTCTTTGAACACCACAGGTCATGAAGCGTGAAAGTTATGCTGTATCTGTTGGGGAAAAACTCATCTTCAATTTATTCTGGTCTACAAAAGCGAGGGAATAGATGCAGAGTTTCTGGATAAGATTTCTTTCACATCTTGGCCATATTTACTGTTTCCCAGTGCATATCTGGAAGCAGAAGTTGCCTGAAATTGATGTTCATCCATCAAACTTACAGTAATGTAATTGATAGAATTGGGCATAGAGAAAGTACAAATAAAATTAAAAAAAATTAAAACTTGGTCACTCTCTTCCTTATTTCTCCAATTTTATTTCGTTTTTGCATTGCTTTCAGACATCTCTCTTCTTACTTGATGATTTCCATGTTTGCTCACCACGATTTAAACAAAGCTTGGATTACAGAATCTGCTTGCTGAAAATCATAGAATCTCAGAATGTTTTGGGTTGGAAGGGAAGTTCAAGATCAAGATGACCTATTTCCAGCCCCCTGCTATGGGCTGGAACACCTCCCACTACACCGGGTTGCTCCAAGAACCTGGCAGGGTTGCTCACAGGGTTGCAAACTGACAGGGCAGCACCAAGTTCGTGCTCTGCTGCTGCCTTCTGTGGATCTGCAGTGTGACCTTGCTTTGAACTAGCCAAGAGGTTGGACGTGTTCCCACTGGGCTGGGGTTGTAGGAGGTCAGTGTGGCAGTGAAGCTAACTTCTAGCTGTGTCTTTGTGCTGGGGTTGTACAGATTCCTGCCAAGAGAGCCTCTAAGTCATGGGATGTTCTTGCCTCACAGCATCCCAGGCAGCTAGCTGAGCTGCCCTATTCTTTTTTTTTTCCATTTTTACTGTACTTGTAAGGAGTTCATGTGCTTGTGATGTTCTGTCCTGTTAGCTGCTGATAAAGCAAAAGCAGTGTGTTGTCACTTTGCTGTTTTGTTTCTCATAGCCATAACTTGCTGCTTGGGAATTCATGCAGAGAGTTTGCAGCCCGTTGTGTCTAGATGCTGTGCAGCAGCAGTGACGTGAGGAGGCTGAATTCCTGCTCTGCAGGAGTCGCCTCTTGGCGAATCACAACTATATGCAAAAACCTGCTTGGATTACAGTTCTGCTAAGCAGAGCAGCCTTTGTGAGATGCAGATTCCCTCCTTAAAAAAAAAAAAATACATAGCAGGAGTTGTGAGGCATTTACCTTGCATTTCCCTTCAGTTCTGTCTGCAGGACTAGTTTGGGATTTGAAGGTTTGTTAGAAGATGTTGCTGCTTTAAGATGGAGAAAGTCTAAGTGAAGGCTGTTGCTTGAGCAGACTCAGTCAGAATACCAATTAGTGCGTTCTTTTGTTAGGATCTTTAGTTTCCTTTTTGTCTAGGTAACAAGCCGTGATCATCTGTGGCAGCTGCTGTTCTTGGAATGCTCAGCGAGTTAGTGCGTTTGCCTTTCACTTCTGCAAAGCTGTCCACAGCTTTCGGCTCTGAGGAGAGAAAATGTTAGTCTCTAATAATTGCGTGGGAGATGAGTAAGCTTGTGCTTTAGATTGAAGCTGCCTTCACGACTTGCATATCAATTTCCTCAAGTCTTTAAGCCCCGCCATCTCTTCATAAACTTCATCGCTCACACTGGCATAGCCTACAAATGAGGTCCTGTCTTGCTTTGTTCTAGGAGTGAAAAGCCAGCAGTGGTCGGAAGAGGCATCGATAATATTTCGGAATCGCGTGGAGAAGAAACCCTTGGTGGCACAGATACAGGCAATTAATGAGAGCACTAATTCCTGGGACCGGAGAATAGTCACTTACTTAGTGGACACGTCTCTTCCAGACACTGACATATGGATTCATGACTTTGTGTCTCAGAGTCTTGCAGAACTTTCAGGAGCAGAATAATTGCCACTTCTGAAATGTAGCAGCTCGGTTGCTGTAGCAATAAAACAAGTAACGGATTTCAAAGAGGAATTTAACTGTTCTTGCATTGCCTTGAAGAGAATAAGGGGATAAACTTCAAAAACATGTGTTCTGTGAAAAAGATTTGCTTAACAAGTTTGCTTTCTGTTGACTTCAGTTGACTTTATGAAGTTTTGCACTTTGTTTGCTACTGCAATACTAGAATGTTTGGGTGGAAATACTAAATAAAAAGTTATTTATCAATAAAACAGTGCTGAACCGATCTAGAGATTTTGTTCCTTAATTTTGGTGGGCTTCTCATCTCATAGCTGTTAAAACGTAATTCTTGCCATTACTGGGTACTCTTTTTTTAGTAGAATTTTTGTTGCGTGGGATACAAGGAAGCAACCTTCTGTATTTCTGAATCTTGTGATTCAAAGCCTAAAACAGGCTTTATGGGTGAGATTTCCCCCTTCCTTAACTTCTCAGGTGATGAATAGTTGAAAATGCCAGTCTAGGGGCAAGGAAGTTTCACAGGAAGTCATGGACTGCCCAACTGGAGTACTTGTTTGTTAGGAGTTTTCTGAATCCTGCTCCCTTTCCTTCAGTTCAGTGCATTTCTTCTCCTCTTTTTTGATGGTTCACTTTTAATGGGAAATGATTCTGAGAAGTTTTGAGCAGCTGCTGCTCCCAGGAAACTGGGGCAAGGAATGTCCTGCCAGCACACTGCTTACTAATCCTCTGAACACAGTATGTGTATATACATATATATTTGTCTACTTTTAAACTTGAATGGCCTTGGAAGTACTTGGGGGTGGTACAAACATCACTGTGTTTCACAGCCTGTTGCCTAGATGCTGCCAGCATGCTGCCTGTGTGGGTAAGGGAGAATGGGCAGAAAGGGAACTGTGGCTCAGAAACGTGCAGTGCTGCATTTGTAGAAAAGGAAAGAGCCTGGGAGATGTTCAGGAGAATGAAGATGCTTTTTGAGCTTCTTTTCTTGTCCCCACTCTCAGTTGTGGCTGGTGGCTGCTCTGGAATCTAATCAGCCTTCAGAAGGGAGGACGGTGCTCATTTAGCCTCATTGCTTTTGCACAGATGAATTCTGCAGCTCTGCCTGTCAGGTTGAACCACGATCGTCTTGGCACCCAAAAACCGGGCTTGAAGGGTTCTGATAACAATAGGTCTGACCAGAGCACGACAGGGAGAACAAAATGCCTTAATTTTTTTCTGTTTGTTCAGTAGTTGCTGTTGACAGTATTGATCTCAAAGTCATTTTGTGTCACTCCACTTTTTGCTCTCTTGCACTGCCTCTCAGGCTGGGTAAGGGATGCTGCTCCTTTCCTTGGCACTTAACACTCAGTTGTGATAAGAGCACTGGCCTGGAGCCTGATCTGTCATTTGCATTCAATCTTGCTGTCATCCTTGTGCTTTGGGAACCTGCTCTTGGAGACTTCCATTGTTACACTTCTTACTTTTTCTCCTATGGGAACCAATCTGTGGTGGAGATGAGGAATGGCACCTTCCCCTTTCCTTCTGGCCAAGCACAGTTACTCCAGGGCACTTTGAACGCTCTAGGGATGCTCCAACCAGCACGTTCCTACTGCTTTCTCCAAAACGTGGGTTTTTAAGTGCAAGGGTATTTTAGGATGTCACTCAGAGATGCGCCCTGAGGCAGGATGGTGGTTGTGGGCAGCCAGGTGTGTGGGAGGAAAGGAACAATTGTGGCAGCTGTTACTTCTGATGATTTTGGGATTTCACCCGTGAGCAAAAAGCCTCTGTAAGGGTAATTTACAAAGAGTTCTGAAGCCAAGAGCCTGGGGGGCCTGGCTTGAAAGGAGGGTCTTGGAGTTAGCCTGCAGAAGAGAAGGCTGAGGAAAGAACACTTACGAAAGGATTTGGGGATGAAAAATCTTTTATAGGTAGAGAGAATCAGGCACAGAAAGCCTTAAGCCGCAGAGAGGTGAATTTAGGTGAGACGGTAGAGAATCCCGCTGGAGCCTAGAAATTCATTGGAATTCAAGTTTCATTGCAGGTTCTAAAAATGGCTAGGATGTATCCGCGGAAGCGGGGGCTGTCCTCTCCTCCGGACTGGAGGTGGGTGTGAGAAATCCCCGCCTTACGGCGCTGAATGCTGCTCTCCGCGCTCCGGCACTCCGCGCTGCCCTCATGGACCGTCCGCTGTGCGCGGAGCCGGAGCCTGGCGAGGCAGGAGGAGCTCCCAGCACCGCAGCTGGGTGACGGCCGGGCCGGGAGGTGGGAGATGAGCGGGAGGCGAAGGCGGTTCCGCAGGCGGTGCCGCGGTACGTGCGCTCCGGAGAGCTCGGAGGGTCCCGTTCCTTTCGCAGCCCGACCCGCGGGCTCCGCTGCCCCGCGGAGCGGCGCGGTCTCCATCCCTCGAGGGGCCAGGAACGGCGTTTCCGTGCGTGGATAAATCCGGAATCCCCGGAGACGGACAGCCTGCGGGGACCGGCGCTGCTCCGCGTCTCCCTGGGGCGGCGGCGGTGTGCGGGCTGAGCCCGCAATGCGGGCGGTGAGACGCGGCGTGCGGCGATGCTCCGCACGGAGCGCCGCCCGGGCGGGGAGCCGGGCAGAAGCCGCGCTCCGTCCTGCGTGCAGTGCGGCGTCGGGGTTAGCGGGAGCGGGGGTCGGAGCTGAGCGTGCGGCACCGGGATGCTGAGTTTCCCGAGGAAAGCTTGGACTCCCAGAGCGGGAGCTGAGCGGATGGTGCTATTTGTGACCCAGGTGTGAGGCGGCGCTTTTCGTGGGCGTTTAGAACACGAGCAATTAAGAAGCAGGCAGCGGATGCGTGACAGCCTGAGCCTAAAGGAGTCCGTGTTTACCTGCGCTGTGTTTTCATGCACACAGCGGCTGCGAAGGGAATTCGGCAGTTTGACCCCACCACGTGTTGCCTGGTCTCCACCGCGCTGTGTTGCATTAACGGTGTGCTGATAATGAAGGCTGCATAATGAGAGCCGACGCAGAGCTGCGTGGCTTGCAGGCAGTGGGCGCTGGGGAGAGAAGGGCTGGGAGGCACAGGTGTGCTTTGGCAGATCCAAAATGATGCCTTCCAGATGTTGCTTTTCAAACATCTTACCAAGGAGAGCTTGAGTTTTCATGTTGTGCCTTATGTTAGCAGCTGCTGGCCATAGAGGTTTTGTCAGCCCAGAGGAAATGCAGATCTTTATGGAGAAACCTGAGTTTCTGCCATCAGCAGGATGAAGATGGACACTGTTCACTGAACAGTGGCATCCGCAACACTGTGTGCTCTGCTTTGTTGAGAACTGGGATGATTGAACTTGATGATCTTGAAGGTTGTTTCCAAACCTAAACAGTTCTGTGACGCCTGGCTACACTGCAAGCTGCACGCATGCTTCTTGACATAAGAAAGCTGCAAAGCAAGATAGGATGACAGCCTCCTGGAGGCTGGGTTACACACTGCTGCAGAAGCAAGTGGCTTAGCCAAGGTGACCTTCAACCATGACTGAGCTCTTGGTGGCTTAACAGCGTATTGCTGGGTCGGGTAGCTAAACCAGCTTGCACTGAACCAGAATCTGAGTTCAGATGTGAATCACAGCAGGAAGAACTTTGCTCCAGCTGGGTAGATGAAGTGAATGTAGAAGACAGTTGTTTTATTCTTGTCAAAAGAGGGAAACATCTTGCAGCCCAGTTCCCATCCTGGCTTTTGGAGGAGGAACCTGTGCAGCTGTACGGTCCTGTGAATTCTTCTAAGACCAAATTATGGAAATGTTAGATGGGAAGACGACTCTGGAACTTGCTCCTCTGAGCAGACCCAATGCTCAGTCAGGCTGCCCAGGGCCTTCTCCAGCTGAGCCCTGCAAACCCGAGTGGTGGTCCCACCAGCTCTGGTACCTGCCTAAGTTCTGCATCACTTTGTGGCAAGGAATTTTTCACAGATCCCCGCTTAAGAGTTCCTCTTGTTCATCCCTGCTGCCCCCTGTGCTTCTCCCAGGCACCTCCCAGAGAAGCCTGGTTTTGTCTTTCCTGCAAGTTCTTTCCTTTTGGACAGCAGATGACTGCATGAGAGTCCTCCGCTGCTTTCTGTCCTGATTTCAGCTGAGGCAGCACTGATTTCCTTTGCAGTGTCTGATGTGATGCTGTGTTTTAGCTCTGGGAGAAAAGCAGCGTTGGCAACACACCAGTGCTACATAGAGCCAAGGCTGTTTCAGCTTCTGGTGCTGTCCTGACAGTGAAGGGGCTGGAGGGCACAAGGAGGTGGGGGGGGAAGGACAGAGCTGGAGGACCAACCACAACACCTTCCCTCTCCAGGATGAAGATGTCTGGGTCTCTCATCTTCTCCTCATACACTCTGCTCTTCTCCGTGCTCATCCTGACGGCCCTGCTCTGTACCCCTTCAGCTCACCAAGACCTCTGTTATGCTGCGGGCATCACACTGGACGCAGAATACAGATGCAGCTCTGCTGGTGCTCACTGGAGGGGAATAACCTCTGTGGGCCTCCTGGCTGTGCAGCAGTACAGACAGCCAGAGCGGGCATGGTTCCCTGCAGGACCAGCAGGCACCCTGCTCGGGTCTGCCCAAGAAGGGATGCTGGCTCCAGGTGTGATGCTTGTACACTGCATTGCATCCCCATGATAGCACACCTGCACTTGTGTCCCTCGTGAGCAGCAGTCAGCAGCTGTCCGTGGGTTGCAGAACCAGGGAAGACCTGCTTTATGGGGGGCTGCAGTCCTTCACAAGAGCAGCGGCAGAGGTGTTGGTTGATTCCGGTTTGTGTTTCTTATGCAGTAATGATATCTCCCCGGTGTGGGCCAGGGAGAGCAGCCCTGGGTGGGAGATGAGCTGCCTGCTGGCACAGCCAGGAGTGAGGCATCATTGCCCAGCCCCAGGTGCTGAGTGTCAGGAATGTGGGGACTGCAGCCGTGCCAGGGGAGGCCGAGCATCCGAGCAGATGACGGCTCTAAATTTAAGGGCTTGCCGTCGAGCTGCGTACGTGTTAATGTGCCCTTTTGTGGCCAAGCTAAAGATAATTCTCCTATCTGGAACAACAGCTGCCCTACGAGTTGTGTAGAGAAACCGCCCTGCTAAGGAAAACTTGCTTTAAATAAGTTCAGTATCTTCTTCAGGTCTGAGTCAGAAAGTGGCCAGGGGGCTCCATAGGGAGCACTGCCACTGCCCAAAGGGTGGGTGCTGGGGTGCAGCTGTGCAGCGTTCCCACAGAGCTGGCTCAGACTGTGAGTCCGCAGGACGAGGTGCGTCCAGCACCGTGGAAATGGGAGGGGGGCCCCGAGCAATCTGTGCTCTGGAGATAGCCACGCTTAGAGCATAAATCTTGTGCAACTCTGTGATAGCCAGCACTCCCCCGCCAGCAGGGCTGCCGGGTCATGTTTCATGCAGGCAGTGCTATGCTCTGTGTTTGCATTTCAGGTTCTGCTTCAGCACAGGAGTGAGATTTGCCAGAGTGCTCTAAGATGTCTTACAGAAAGGAGCTAGAGAAATACCGGGACCTGGATGAGGACAAGATCCTTGGAACCCTGACAGAGGAGGAGCTCAGGAAGTTGGAGAATGAACTGGAAGAGCTGGACCCTGATGTAAGTTGCTTTTAAATGAGACCTGTTCAGTGGTAAATTCCATGTAGCTGTGGGCAGATGAGCTGTGCTAGTGACCTGTTCTGCCACCGAATCCTTTGCAGAGCCTGCACTTGGTGCAAGGATGGAGGAGGCTGGCCCTAGAGAAGCAGAAGCAGCTGTGCCATTGCCAGCACTGGCTGTGTATGGGGCTCTGTTTTGAGCTGTTCCCCTGCCCATTCCCAGCATGCACACTTCAGTGTGATGGCGCTGTATTGATTTCTGGCTCAGCAATTAGTGGCCAGACTGCTGGAAAACTTGCCTGTTGTTGCACGGTTGTTGCTTTGCACCACTTTTCGCAGCATGGCGTTGGGTGCTTGGGCTTCTCGCACCGTTCTGATACCCTTGTATGTTGGGAAGATCTGCCTTGATACATGGGAAACCTGCAGAAGCTGCACAGTCACCTTGGAGGGGACATTTGGGTTTCATGGCTGGGCTTTGTTTTTAGAGCAGACTCCAGGTGGTTGATATGTCCCTGCACATAGGCAGAAAAGCAAACCCTGAAGTTCTGCAGGATGGGCCATTTGCTTTATCTCTTCCTGACTTCGGCAAGAGCTGCACGAATACACGCACTGGACATCATAATGCCAAGCAGCCGAAGCCTTCTGGATGCAGAGCTGCCCTGTGCCCATGGCAGGCAATGTGCAGAGCCAGCTGGCGGGCTGCTGGCTTATGGCAGCACCAGTCTGGGCACTGCCGAGTGAGAAATTGCTGCTGTGATGTGCAGTCAGTGTTTCTGGGGGAAGCGAGGGGTAGTGCTGATTGCGTCATCAGTATTTTTAATTGCAAGTGTCAACACAGAAGAATAATTAAGGGGTGTCAGGCTGTCTTACAGGATTATGCATGTGTGCTGGTAGGCTCACCTGGCAAGCACAAAGCTTGAGAAGCTGTGCCTGATCAGCACCAGGTTTGGATGTATCTAATTGTTTCCTATTAGTTCTTTGCAGGGTTTTCACTGCAATAGGTTTAAATTAAAGTCAGTTAGGTGGGCACAGAAAAATGAGCATCCTGTTGAAAATCACCTTGGATGTCTTAAAAAATAAGTGGCGACTTCTCTCCGGCAAAGCTTTAAAGAACATGCTTAGTGCCAAATCTGGGAACAGTCTTACTTATTGCATTAAGGCTGTTCTATATTTAAATATAAGCAGGTGCTTACGTTCCTTATGTGTCAGGCACAAAGCAACTTCCCATGGTGGCCCATGCAGCTGAATAATGAGAAGGCAGCGTGGAAAGAGGGCTGAGGCTCTTGAGGCTTTATTCTGCAGCGGGACTGCATGCACAGCCTTTCTGGTGTGACCTTCTATGCCAGGCCTTGCCTGTAGTTGTGTGAAGGGTCACAAGTGGCTAAAGACAGCGCTGCAGCTCTGTTCCTCCACGTGACGGATGTGGGGGGTTTGCCTGAGCTGATCCTCATGGGACATGAGGACATGATCCACATGGGCATGCACAGCCTGCACCTCCATGTCCGTGCTGGCAGGCACAGCGAGGACACGCTGAGCTTAGAAGGCAGCAGGCAGTAAACGTGTGGGAAGAGGGCAGGAGGAGTGGCTGAGAGCCCCTGGAGAAAAAGTGGTAGTTGCTGTTGTAGAGAAGCATCCACTTGTCAGCATGGAGAACTTGCAGTGGAGCTGGAGTTTGAAATGCCGTGCTGAAGTCTTCAGCGGGATGGGAGTCAGCAGGGCAGGATGGAGAGAAGCCTGGTGTGCGAGGAGAAGCAAAGTGTGCAATGGTGCAGAAGAAATGTGGCACGAGGAGGGAGGTGAAGGGCAGGAGTATGATGGACCTGGCCTGCAGGGATAATCCGTGTTCCTCCCTTCTGTGCACAGAATGCATTGCTGCCGGCAGGGCTCCGACAGAGGGATCAGACGCAAAAGCCACCAACTGGCCCGTTCAAAAGGGAAGAACTCATGGCCCACCTAGAGCAGCAGGCAAAAGACATTAAGGACAGAGAGGACTTGGTGCCTTTCACTGGTGAAAAGAGAGGTATGGTCATCCACTGCACCATGGTGAAGCAGGACGGGTGGGAAGCCTGCAGAGCATGCACAGCAGGACTATCCCCTCTTCCTGCTGCCCTGCCTTCCAGCACTGCTGCTTGTGCTCCATCCTTGCACCTTGAGTTCCTCTTGGTGCAGAGGAGCAGCACGGCTCCGCTCAGATGGGATGATCCTCACGGTTTCCTTCTGATCTTCTTCATGTCATAACAGTCTCAGCCTTCTTTTCTGGTCTCCCACAGCTTGCATGCCTGTGCTTCCCGCACCATCCCTGCAGCAGCACCATCCCCTTGGCTCAGGGTGCTGCTCTGCCTCACCTCTTTCCTCTCCTCCATCCATCATCTGATTACCCAAATGACTTCCCTGCTCCCACTGGCATTGTGAATGTGACCTGACACGGGATGTGGTCTGGTCTGTCCTCATCTCTGCCCTCCAGGAGCTTCACAGCAGCCATCTTTTGCTGCACACAGTCCTGCCCCCGGCGGAAGAGTTGCTGGCACGCTGTTCTCTGCTGGAACCAAAACACAACTGTGTGAACACAGGCAGCCTGGTCCATTGGTTGGTGACCCTGCACATAGCGGGGGGGTTGAAAACAGGTGATCTTTGAGGTGCTTTTCAACCCAGGCCTTCCTATGATTCTATGAACACATGGTGAGCCTCCCCTGAAGCTGCCCACTAATTGCTACCCCCACTACTCGTGCTGCAGAGCACAGAGCTGCTTCATTGCCAGACACAGCACCGGCGTGGTACAGCAGGGCCCAGAGAGCAAGCTTCCTGAAACTAAACCCTGGTGGTTACAGTGAAGGGAGCTGGCAGAGCTGAACTTGCCCGGTGTTTACTATTTCTTGCCCAGCTGACCTGATAGCACGTGCAGTCTGCGAGCTGCCAGGCTGCTCCCGGCCCTTGCTGCCACCCTGGGGTGCACACAGCCTGCAGCTTTGCCCCGTGTGAGGACAAGGATGCAGGGGAGGAGATGAGCCATTTCCCTGCTTCTTGCAACCTCCATCTTGCCACGGGAGAGCCCTCCGTGCAGCTGCTCCTTCCCTGGGGCTAAATTTAGCTCCTCTGTGCCTGCACACCCCTGCAAGCAGGATCTTTGTTTCTCCCCTCCGGTCTCTGGCTCTGGTTTCAGAGAGGAGATGAAAATAGCCCTGGCTGGCATGCCAGGCCTTGCACTTGCTATCCGTGCAGCAACGCTGGGCTCTGAAGGGAGGGCCATTAAGGCCCTGCCCCACTGCTCCTGCCCTCCCACAGCCTTCTGACCACAGGAAGGGTCTCACATGGCCACTGCCAGCGCAAAGCCCAAGGACTGCGAAGGGAGAGTGCCCTCTTTTTTCCTTGGGGCAGCAGAAGGGCAGTTTGATGGGTGACACGGCCTTGAAAGAAGTGAAGTTTCCAGGTCAGGCTGTGCTTTCTGAGTGCTGCGCGTCAGAGCCATGGTCCTGTACAAAGCGCCACTCAGCTGCTGCAGACACAGCTGCTAAGAACATCAGCTCCAGCAGGGAGGTGTTCTGGCACACTGAGCTAGGACTGTGCTGGCTGCAACCTGATGGGAAGCTCTCTTACTCCCCCTCCTCAGCAGGGCAAGGGGAAGGAGGGAAATGTGATGGAAAAAGGCTCAAGGACTGAGATAAGAGCAGGGAGATCACTCACCCATTACGGCCATGGGTCAAACAGACGCAGCGCAGAGATCAATGTGATTTATTGCCTACTGCTGAGAGACAAGAGCAGCGAGATCCGAAAGCAAACTAAAATCACCAGCCACCACCCGTCCCCATTTTCCTCTTCCCCCAGGCAGCATGAGGGCTTCAGTCAGTGCCTAACGCTTCCCCTCTGCTGCTCCTCCACAGTCACTCTCTCCTACATCTGCCTGTCCCCATTGCCTTTGACACCATGCAATTCCTACCCCACAGAAGCACACTGTCAGGAGCAGCAAAACACAGCCTTGCAGCTGTGGGACAGGTGCTGCAGCTATGCCAAGTGTGACCTCACTTTGCATTTATAGGAAAAGCTTGGATCCCCAAGCAGAAGCCAATGGATCCTGTTCTGGAAAGTGTGACCCTGGAGCCGGAGCTAGAGGAAGCCCTTGCTAACGCCTCTGACGCGGAGCTCTGTGACATTGCTGGTAAAACAGTTACATGTGAATTGGGGGTTGAGTTATTTAGCTGCTATTTTCTCTCTTTTCATGGGAGCTCAGCTATTGAGCTCGTTGCTGATTGTGTAAATGTCACCAGTTTTGACAGGATTTCATTCTTTATTAAAAAGGAAACATATATTTAGAGTTACTTTCAGTCCCACGTCCCGATGTGATTCATGAGGAGCACAGACCAACGCTGAGCAGGGAGAAGCAGAGCTTATCTGTGACCTGTTGGTTTCTCCTTTCTCTCCACCAAGCCTCACAAAATTCTGCATGCTTTCTTCTCGAGCATGGCTTCCTTGGAGCCAGAACCAGCAGTATCCTCCTTGCTGTGGGGCAGGTGGGATAACCCCACCAACGAGACATCTTCCATGCAGTAACAACGTGCTCTGGTTCAGAAATGCACTTCTGCACTGGGGCTTTCAATAATCATTCCCTGACTGAGCCCTGCTTCTCTTTGTTTTGCTTTTCCACGGTGCTCCTAGCGTAAAGCCCTGCTCTGTCTTTCTGAGTGCCAGATCTCCAGGGCAGTTATTTTCACAGGGAAATACTGCCTATGGCACGTAGCTCTGCGCTTCTGGGGAGAAGATGCTTGAAGCTGAAGCGGGACTGGTATGATGCAAGCTGTGCTGAAGGCTCAGTATTGGCAGTGCTGCTTTTCCAAGTTTGCTAAGACTGTAAAAAAGCTCCTGCCTATCTTACAGGGCTCATTGTCAGCCAGGATGCATTGGCTCCTGTCCTTGGCAAGCCCAGTGGGATAGTCCCTGTGGGTGGCTCCTGATGAGCCTTGGACGGAGTTCCTGTGCCTTTGGTGGTTGGAGAAGGCAGAAGTGGGAGGATGTCTTTTGGTTTGAGTGCCTTTGAGCAAGACACACTAAATGCCACACGACAGTTCCATGTCACCTGCTGGTGTAAACTCCAGGCCTGAATGCCTGTGCATGGCTGTGATAGCCAACCCTCTCCCTGCCTGCAGCCTCGATACTCATGGTGCTGGTGAGTAGAGGGGCTGCGTTTTCAGACCAACAAGTGCTGAGCCTGCAAATAAATGGCTTTTCCTAGTCATTTGGGTGCCTGGCAGGGAAAACAAATACTCCAAGTTGCCATTCTCAGCTGAACTGCCATCTGTGAGTCAAGCTGCACTGCCATGAACAAGAAGTCATTTGAGCCCTGCTGTGTGTCTGTGACAGCTGGGGGCTCGGTCCCACCTCCATATGTTGTTCTGTGCCTGGACAGAGAATTGAGTGTGCTGCTGACTCTGTTTTGGGCTGCACAAGCATGTCAGCCGTCTGGCTCTGGAGCCTGCAACAGATTTTGTTCTCCTTTTGTTTTATTTCTAGCCATCCTTGGCATGCACACCTTGATGAGTAACCAGCAGTACTACGAGGCACTGGGTAGCAGCACTATTGTGAACAAAGAAGGACTTAACAGTAAGTGATCCAGCATGCCTTGCAGGCTGCAGCATTTGCCTGCCAGCTTGGATGCAGAGGTGAAGTGGGAATTATTTTTAGGCTGAGGGTTGGGTTTTTATTTTCAGTGGACTCCTGCCACCCCTGCCAGGCTCATGGGTGAGCAAAGGCCCTCTCTTTGGCTGGAGCACAGTTGCTACAGCTGTCCAGCCCTGGGTTCTCCTCCTGGACAACATGCTCGATCACATAAAGAATGAGCATGTGATCCGAGACAGCCAGCACGGCTTCACCAAAGGAAGGTCATGCCTAACTAATCTTGTGGCCTTCTATGATGGAGTGACGGCATTGGTGGACGAAGGGAAGGCGACCGATGTCATTTACCTGGACCTGAGCAAGGCCTTTGACATGGTCCCCCACCACATCCTCATCTCCAAATTGGAGGGAAGTGGATTTGAAGGGTGGACGACCCGATGGATAAGCAATTGGTTGAAAGGCCGCAGACAGAGGGTGGTGGTCAATGGCTCTGTGTGCAGGTGGAGGCCGGTAACAAGTGGTGTCCCCCAAGGGTCTGTCTTGGGACCGGTGCTCTTTAACATCTTTATTAATGACATCGATGAGGGAATTGAGTGCACCCTCAGCAAGTTTGCTGACGACACCAAGCTGAGTGGTGCGGTTGATACGGTGGAAGGAAGGGATGCCATTCAGAGGGACCTTGACAGGCTGGAGGGCTGGGCTCGGGTGAACCTAATGAGGTTCAACACGGCAAAGTGCAAGGTTTTGCATTTGGGCCGGAAGAACCCCAGGCACCCGTACAGGCTGGGAGGAGTGGTCCTTGAGAGCAGCTCGGCAGAGAAGGACCTGGGGGTCCTGATGGACGAGAGACTGAACATGAGCCAGCAGTGCGCTCTGGCAGCTCGAAAGGCAAATGGGATCCTGGGCTCCATCAGGAGAGGGGTGGTCAGCAGGGACAGGGAGGTGATCGTCCCTCTCTACTCGGCTCTTGTGAGGCCCCATCTGGAGTCCTGTGTCCAGGTGTGGAGCCCTCAGTACAAGAAAGACATGGAGATTTTGGAAAGGGTCCAGAGGAGGGCGACTGAGATGAGCAGGGGGCTGGAGCACCTCCCCTATGAGGACAGGCTGAGGGAGTTGGGCTTGTTCAGCCTGGAGAAGAGAAGGCTGCGGGGTGACCTCACTGCAGCCTATCAATACCTGAAGGGAACCTACACCCAGGAGGGGAGTAAACTCTTCAAAAGGGCTGACAACAGCAGGACTAGGGGAAATGGATCCAAGTTGAAGAAGGGAAGATTTAGGTTGGATGTTAGGGGGAAGTTCTTTACAGAGAGAGTGGTGAGGTGCTGGAACGGGCTGCCCAGGGAGGTTGTGGATGCCCCGTCCTTGGATGTGTTTAAGGCCAGGTTGGACGGGGTCCTGGGCAACCTGATCTGAATGTGTGTGTTTGGTGGCCCTGCTAGGCAGGGGGGTTGGAACTACATGATCCTTGAGGTCCCTTCCAACCCGGCTGATTCTGTGATTCTGTGATTCTGTGGGTTGGTGATGTTTCCTTTGCAGTCTGCCATCTCCTGCAGTTTGCCAGAGAAATGGCTCTTTTGGGGTGGAGTGGTTGCCCCCAGCCAGGGGAAATGCATAAGTGGAAGTGCTTCCTCCCAGAGTTTCTTTGGGAGAGGTCAGCTGGAAGGCCAGTCCAAGCTGAGCAGAAAAGATATCTCCTGTGAAGGCGTTCCAGCCAGAATGGTTTCTTCATGTCAGAAATAAAGCACATCACTTGCAAGAAGAGGCAACAACATTTCTTTGTGCTAAGTCTTTCCTTGCAAATCATGACCAGTAGGGGAGGGCAGGAACTGCTCAGAGGAATGGTGGTATCACAGAGCAAACTGCTGGAAAGAGGCTGCTGTGTTAGCTGACAGAACACTTTGCGGTGCTCTGGCTCTCTCTTCTTTATCTTCGCCTTGTGCATCTTAACATGGGTCTGCTCTCAGATGTGTGTTTGAAGAGTGTGCAGGATCAAGTATGCTAGAATGGCTTTGGTTGGAAAGGACCTTAAAGCCCATGCACTTGCCACCCCCTGCCATGCACAGGGCTGTCCTCTGCCAGCTGAGACTGGCAGAGCAGTCTGATTGCTGGTGCAGCCTCCACTGCATCGTTGCTCTGTTCCCACCAGCACTCGTCTGCCCTGGCCTCATCCAGAAGAGTGCACAGCCCATGCAGGTGGCATGCCTGCTGTCACCTGGCTCTGGTCCACAGGAGCACAAGGCAGCAGACACCAAACGTCCCAAACTGGTTGTCTCCAGTCCCAGACTGGTTGTCTGCCAGGCAGCGTCCCTGGATGCACATGAGTGTCTGCAAGGCTAGTAAGTGATTGTGCAGTCTTTCATCTCATGTCTGCTGCTCAGGTCATACTTCTCTCTTCCAGTGCTGCTCTTCAGAGAAAAGAAATGCACCTAAAGAGGACATGCCACTACTCTGGGTGTTTACATTTTCCCTCTCTTGCTTTTCACTTGCAGGCGTGATAAAGCCCACAAAGTACAAACCAGTTCCTGATGAGGAGCCAAACTCAACGGACGTGGAAGAAACTCTGAAACGAATACAGAACAACGACCCTGATCTTGAGGAGGTCAACCTGAACAATATTATGGTATGTGCACCTGCCTGCTCTCCTCTCTAACAACACCACACGTTTGCTATGCAGAGGGCAAAGACCAAGCCTGCTTTGCTGCATGGGACAATACCATAATCCTGCACTTGGCCAGATGAGAAACCCCAGTGCTTCCCTTATGGCCAAGGGGAATTGCTGCCTGCTGTGGGGATGATGGTGTGGAGCTGGCGCCTGAAGGGGCTGAGCTGCACTGGGGGCAGGAGCAGAAAGCTGCCTCCAGCCTATCTGGTTTAAAGTGTCCCGGGTTCTTTTAGTGGTTCAGGCAGCTGCATCTGGTACAGGTAAGGTAGAGACAATTTTCTGTAAGGCAAAGTGGTGAGAAGAAAATGGCTTTGTAATCTTGATGCTTGCCATGGAAATAAGAACTGTGTTACACAGTCCATCTCCCACCTGTCCCTTCTTTGGGACTCTACTTCTTGCAGAAAGCAGCACCACTCCTGGTGTGGCTCCTGGGCACATACGTACACAGGTAGAACGTATATGTACATTCTATATGTACATTCTACCTGTTTCTCAACTACCCCCAGCCCATGCTGAAATCGTGATGTGATCAACTGGCAGGAATGTGCATGCCATGAGCACTTGTGTGTGCAGTATGCACCTTTCTGTAATGAAAAGGTTTTTATTTTTGCATATTCAGTTCAGGCTAGTGACCGTGAATGTCTGGGAGAACACCAGCCTTGGGTTCTGGTAGGAAGACAAAGGATGCTGGTGTTAGATGTGTGGTCTGGGGACAGTTTATAAAACTAGGTGGTGATGGTAAAGCTGCTGACTGCAAATGGCTTTGACTATGGATGACACCAAATGGAGGGATCCAACGGCATGATGCTACAGCTCAAAATGTTAAACCAGTGGAAATTCTCAACGGGGTACCTAAAATACTCATAAAGCAAAAATTACTGACTGTGGATGAATTGAGAATAAGCAGCATGGATTTCCTTTCTGTTCTGGGACCTACCATGGCAAATGTTAGTCTGAAGAATGTTTTATGGCAACATTTATATTGCTTTGTAGCAGTCAGAAGTGATTGTAGTTTGCACCAGAGGGAAATCAGTTCAGATCTTTGTGGATCAGGCCCTCACAGGTGGAAAGTTTCTGGAACGTAGTCTGGATGTTGCTCAGTGTGTCATTCATTTGGAAATCATAGGAGCAGTGCTGTGTGGGCTTATGCATCCTAGCTATGTATGTCTCCATGAGTCTCAGCTCACGTGTATCTAAGTTGCTGGAGAGTTAAATTAAACAGTGAAGAAACTGCATCTTCAAACTAAGGCAGGGCGGGAAACAGGATAGAGACATTACCACACTCCTTAGGCCTTGCAGTTATAGCAAGCATATATATAAGAGCACTTATCAATCCCTTCCTAAATTGCTTCAGGGTGCTCAGTGAGTTGATCTCAGTGAGAATTTTGGAATATAGTTTAAATGTACTGCATATCTTTTGTGACCTAACACAGGTCCTTTGCATTCCTTTTCGCAGAATATTCCCATACCAACTTTAAAGGCCTGTGCTGAAGCACTGAAGACTAACACTTATGTGAAGAAGTTCAGCATAGTTGGGACGAGGAGCAACGATCCTGTTGCTTTTGTAAGTATGGTGCCATGCTGTGTTGGCTACTCGTGGTAGAGCTGCAGCAGGGCTTGTTCTTGGACAAGGTGTTTTCAGAGTGAGGTGGGCAAGACTTGCAGCCAGCGACAGTATGGTTGTAGTGTCACATGGAGGAAACCTTGGGCAGGTGGAAGGTTTTCCAAAGCCACCGTGCTGACTTTGGAAGAGGGATGGACAAGAAGAAGGGTTATCACAGGCGGGGGCTGTCCTTTTTTGGGGTGGGTCTGAACATTTCTGCATACAAGGCATTGCTGTGGCCTCCAGCACCCTCAGGTTCAAAAAGTCCCTCAGAATCGGAGGGAATTCCCTTCGTCCTTCACAGAACTCTCCCTTGTGGTGGCAGTGACACCATGGAGCATACCAGCTCTTCCAGGTATCCTCCAGGGAAGAGGGGAGCCAACCCCAGCTGCTCCAGAGCACTCTGACCCTGCCTGTGTCATGCCAGCTCCTGCCAACTGCTTCTGCCTGCAGGCGCTGGCAGAAATGCTGAAGGTCAATAACACGCTGAAGAGCCTGAATGTGGAGTCAAACTTTATCTCTGGGTCTGGCATCCTGGTTCTTGTTGAAGCACTCCAGAGTAACACATCCCTCATAGAGCTCCGAATCGACAACCAGGTAAAGCAAAAACGAGCAGAAGCTCTGGTCAATGACAGCATCCTGCTAGCAGGAAGTCAAGCTGCTGCTCAGAGGGGAGGGTGACTTCCTTCTGCTGCTGCCACTTAATTTTGGGGAGGTTTTAGCTCCTCATTTGTGCTGCTACTGCCTTCAGCATTTAACAAAGCAGGTTTCTGCATTCCCGGTGCTGCCCTGGGAGTGCAGTGATGCACCTGCCCAACATCATGCTGGGCTCTGAGCATTTAGTTCAGCTGGAAGCCTAATTAATAATGGTTGATCAGAAAAAACTGAAATATTTGCTGCAGTGCAGGAAAAGAGCAGGTACAGATCAAGAGGGCTGTGGAGTGCGCAGTGGTATTGATGTCTTAGCAAATTTGTCTTCTGCAGAAATGTAGGGGGTGGAAATAAAGCTACTGAGCCATGAGGAGCTCTGGGTTGGGTGACCATGAGATCAAAATGATGGGATCCCTAAGTACCTCTTAGCTGCAGGTCTGTTCAACAAATAGTCTTTGGGCAGAACATGAAGGTGTCTGCAGGAAGAGCTGGACCACTTGGTTGCAGCAGACCAGGCCAGCAGGTGCCCAGCAGCTCCAAGTCAGAAAAGCCAAATGGACCAACAGATCCACAAAAGGGAAGGAGTAAGACAGCAGATGTAACCTGAGCCTAAGCAATGTGACAGTGACTGGGAGTGTCCAGGCAGAGGGGGCAAAAATGTGTGCAAGTTTCTCACAGAACGGGCAGGGTTGGAAGGGACCTCAAGGATCATGAATCTCCAACCCCCTGCCACAAGCAGGGCCACCAACCTCCACATTTCGTATCAGACCAGGCTGCTCAGGGCCCCATCCAACCTGGCCTATGGACGGGGCGTCCACAAAGTTTCCTGTGACAATAAAATACATGAGCTCTAATAGGGGTGGTAGCAATGGTAAGGGAGAAGCAGAACTATCTGGTCCATCGCCTGGCCAGCTGGTGGCAGCTGAAGGCCGTGGTGAAGAGGAACTCGCAGCACTGTGCAGCAGGAATGGAAGCACGTCTGTCCTCACTTTCTTTTCTGTTCTCTGTTTTCAAAAGAGCCAGCCTTTGGGCAACAACGTAGAAATGGAAATTGCGAACATGCTGGAAAAAAACACCACCCTGCTGAAGTTTGGGTACCATTTCACTCAGCAAGGTCCCCGGCTCCGTGCATCCAATGCCATGATGAATAACAATGACCTAGGTGAGTGGGCTGGCTGCGAGCCCTGCGGCTGTGGGCAATCCCTTGTGGGAGGAGGACGGCCACTCACTCGAAGGTCAGGTACCACCTCCCCAGGGGCCCGACGATTCCTTGATCCTCAAGGAGGAACAGCTTCCACCTGCCAGTTCCCAAATGCCACAGGACCCGTGATGGTTGCTCTTGGCGTGGCAGTGGAATGTGCTCTTAACCTGGAGATGCTGTGCAGCCTGAAATCATGGATAAGAGTGCTTCTGGACGTAACAGTGGATCTTGTTGGGAAGGAGTGAGAGCTGTAAATGTGCCTTGGTAATGATGTCCGTGATACAGCAGTGCTTGTGATTGCTGCCAACTGCTCATCTTCCTCCAGTTTCATTTTCACTTTAACTAAATGAAAAATATTAATAGAGTTGCCTTTGGAACACGGTGGATTTTGGCCCATTCTCCTCCATAAAGCAAACTCGAAGTATTTCTAGGGAGAGTTGGCTTTCAGTTCTATTAATATCCTCAATGAAGTGATCAGAACTGCTTGTGAAGCAAAACAGGGGTAAGTCTGAAAAGTGCTCTTTAAGCTAATGTGTGTGACAGAGGGTTGCCATTGCCTGGCGACTGGCTGCCATAGAGCACTGGATATCTGTGCAGCAGATAAAGATTGGAACTGCCAGCCTAGGTGGGTAGATGAGGTGATTAAAGACATAACCACCAAACCCTTCCGAGCAGTGATGGATGTGACAGGGTGTGACAAGCAGAAGTTTGCAGGCCGGTTGAGGTTTAACATCAACTGGATGGGGTTTAACAGAAGCAAGTGTAGAGTCTTGCATCTGGGGAGGAATAATTGCATGCACCAGTACAGGTTGGGGGATGAGCTGCTGGAGGGGAGCTCTGCAGAGAGGGACCTGGGTGTCCTGGTGGACGACAGGTCGGCCATGAGCCAGCAGTGTGCCCTTGTGGCCAAGAGGGCCAGTGGCATCCTGGGGTGCATTAAAAAGAGCGTGGCCAGCAGGTCGAGGGAGGTGATCCTGCCCCTCTGCTCTGCCCTGGTGAGGCCTCATCTGGAGCACTGCGTCCAGTTCTGGGCTCCCCAGCACAAAACAGACAGGGATCTCTTGGAAAGAGTCCAGTGGAGGGCCACAAAGATGGTGAGGGGCCTGGAGCATCTCTGCTATGAGGAAAGGCTGAGTGAACTGGGTCTGTTCAGCCTGGAGAAAAGAAGGCTGAGAGGGGACCTGATCCAGGTCTGTAAATATCTGAGGTGTGGGGGGCAGAATGGCGAGGCCGGACTCTTTTCAGTGGTGAGTGGAGACAGGACAAGGGGAAACGGCCGGAAACTGCAGCATAGGAAGTTCTGCACCAATGTGCGAAGGAACTTCTGCACAGTGAGGTGAGGAGCACTGGAACAGGCTGCAGGGAGGGGGGGGAGTCTCCTGCTCTGGAGATGTTCAAGACCTGCCTGGATGCCGACCTGTGCAACCTGCTGTAGGGAACCTGCTTTGGCAGGGGGTTGGACTCGATGAGCTCTGGAGGTCCCTTCCAACCCCTACAATTCTGTCATTCTGTGATTCTGTTGTTTGGCTTGCATTATGGGAGAAATCCTTCCTGGGAAGTTTGCGCAGTGCTCAGGGAGAAAGCCAGCGCCTGCCCTGCTCCAGTGCTAGGGAGATTCCTGCTAGGAGGTGGGGCACCTGAGGACAGACCTGATGTAAATACAGCAGTCGTGAAGGAATGGTGAAAACCTAGAACCCTGCATTTTTATCTGCATGTGATTTACCATGCATGGGGTCTTCTGATCCTTTTGAGTCAACTTCAGCTTGGAAAGCACAACAAATGCTAAGTGGTTGTCAGATATAAATGCAGTGTGTTTTGTTGGCTTTCATTTTGCTTTAAATAACAAAGCAGTCTTGCTTCAGGCAGTACCATGCTCTTAGGAAACATGGCCAAGCGTAGACCCATGTCAATTCCTCCCTGACCACACAGAATACTTACTTATTACAGCTCATTGTGTATCTATTCTGCCTTCTGCTGGATTTCTGTTCACTAGAGAGCTGCTCCAGAAAAGGCTTGCCATTTCCTGTCTTCAAGAGCAAGGCTTTTAATGAGCCTGAATGCACAATATTCAGCTGGAAGATCTGGATCTAATATTTTAATTGTTCCTGCTTTGAAGGGAAGAAATGTGCAGTTTTGCCTTCCATGTAGCAGTTGTATGTTTTGCCTCCGACCATTAAGATCTGCATTTGTGTCTGACTTGGTTCTTGTTTGCAGCTCACATTCAGCGGTGTGATGGTCTCTGGCAATAGCTTCTCACCCCTACACCTGGATGATGTATAAGTATAGAAAAAATTTTATTTTCCTCCCTGTCAGCAAAAGCTGTTTCTGCTCCACTCCAGTGCTCTTGCCTACCATCACCTGATGCTACTGGTGCCCACTCTTGGTTCTGTATTTTCTCTGCTCTAAGATGCCCTATCTGACCCAGCTGTGAAGGTGTTCCATGCTCACGAGCTAACTTCTGCATCCTCTCTATACTATTTTATTCGGTTTGTTTTTCCCTCACATACATTTCTTGAAAAGTCAGGGATGGTGCTGTCAGAGTAAAACAACTATAAATACAGATATGAAGCTGCTCTGACTAACTTAATTGTGATCAAAGGCCTGAAAACTCAAGTTGTTAGTAAAAAAAAAAAAAAAAAAAAAGTATATATGTATGTATATTCAATTTGATGGGGAGAAACTAGAAGAAAAAGGAACTATGACATCGATCTGTTGTCTTCCCATCAGCCGTTATCACACGCCTTCGTAAGAGTCAGATTACAAAGTTAGCTGCATGAGCTGCAATTGAAGAGTAAGGGAAGAAAGGCTGAAGGTGATTTCTGACTGTAAGAACGTGACGGCAACCTCAGCCTGCTCTCCTTATCCTTAACCTCTGTAAGGAGGGCCATACCTGCTGCTCAAAGCAGGAATGTGGAAGCTCATGCTATAATTTATCTTTCCTGGCAGAAAGTGTCCTTCTTACAGTGACGAAGCCACTCACATCTTCCCATTGCCACGGCTGACTCCTCCTCCTCTTCTTTTTCAGTGAGGAAGAGAAGACTCGCCGAGCTGAACGGGCCTATTTTTCCCAAGTGCAGAACTGGAGTGTAGCTGCCAGCCACGGAGGTCATTCCCAGCGGGTCTGTGCTACTGTGACAACCTAAAGGCAAAGAAGTGCCTCGAGAGAGTTATTTGTGGTGCCTCGGTTCTGTTTCATGCACTAACAGTTTAAAGTAACTAGTGGCTGTAGTTGAAGAGTTTTATCCAGTAGCACTGTTGATGTTTTCTGTAGAGCTGGAAACTATTCAAGCCAGTAACCTGCCGATGTTGTGCAACCTCAGCTGAGCGTACACCCCGGTGTAAAAGTAACTGCAGTGACCTGGGACCTCATTTTTCTATAAACCTGCACAGTGTTTCACGGAGGCAGCATGTGGTACAGTGAGAGATACAACTCTTCCACACAAATTACAGAAGTATTAGAAAAATACTTTATTTTTTTCCCAAAATGATCTCAAGTAGCTGTAGAGGAGCAACTAGTTTAACAAGAACTTCTACTATTCAGAAACATGGCTACATTAGATAAATGCAAAGTGTACTTTTTTTTAAACCAACATCTGCCGAGTCAGTTAGTTAGAGGTGCTGCTTCTCAAATGAATCCCCATGTTTCTTAGAAAAGACTGATCCCCCCCCACCGCCATGCAGTTAAGTTGAACTTAAGGCCACCAATTGTGAAATAAGAGTCTCAAAAACTGAGCACTGGAGAATGGTTTAGCATCATTCTACCCCATTTGTGTATTTGAATAAAAACATCACTTTCAGGGATCTGATGCAAATCCTGAGTTTGGCCTGAAATAGCCAAACTAATCAGTAAATGAGAGTCCTCTCTTCTAATCCCCACATTTTCATGACTTTAAAAGTGCACGTCCAGATTCTCACTGGAAACAAGTCAAATCCCCTTTCTTTGCTGCTTTATCAAGATGACCCCGTCCATCCAATTTCGTTATGCTGCAGATTGTTTTGATTAATGCCACCCCTAACATATGCATAGGCATAAATGCAAGGCTAAACACCGTGTCCTCAGAAAGCTGCTAACAAACATCAATATCCTGACTCCAAACTTAGACTGAGCACAGCCTGAAGCCTCTCTGTTGCTCCTAGAGTAATTCCCCCTGGGGATACGCACCTCCCAGGCACGCAGAGCAGAGGACCCAGGACAATCCCATCCGACATCCCTGCTAGGATCCCGACCCATAGGAAGACTTGCCAGGCAAAAGCATTGCTGTGCAAAAGCCTTATTCTTGGTCTGACAACAACACATCCTAGCAAGAGTTCTCGCCTACAGTAACCTACCTGCACAGATCTGTTAAAAGTAGTTCTGCAGCCTCCTACACATACTCCAGCAAAAGCCCCACAGATTTCTACAGAGTTTGTGCACAAACATCATGCATTTTGGCTCTGGCCAACAGAGCAGAGAAACACTGTGCTTCTATCAGTGTGGGAAAATTTGTCGTTCTTCAAAGCTTAATAAATGTGCCAGCAATGCCAAATAAAATGCGTTCCTATAGCTTCTTCCTCCCTGCCCCCAGGCCTGCAAGTCCCATTTCATAAAATTAAAATAATACATAAGAAAATGGCTTGAAGATATTAAACAATAAAAAAGAAACTGGCAGAAAACATCTTTCTACCATATGTGCTGCAAAAACTTCAACTAATTCATCAAACCAGAGTCACAGTTTCAGCTGAGCCATCTACTCAGATCACAGAATGATGGCATGGCTCAGGGTGGAAGGGACCCCAAGGATCACCAAGCTCCAACCCCCCCAACACACGCAGAGCCACCAACCTCCATATCTAATACTAGACCATGCTGCCCCATCCAACCTGGCCTTGAAGATCTCCAGGGATGGAGCATCCATAGCCCCTCTGGGCCCTAGCAGGATGAACACAAAATGGAGTGGGTGTTCCTTGGAAGATGAGTTCCAGAACAGACCTAAGCTGCGTGACAGAATTACATGCTTCAGGAAATCAGCAGTGAGAGAAAAGGAACCTCTAATTCAGCATCCTATTGACACTCAACGTACCGTAAGCGAAATTCCACTTGCCAGGCACTTGTTGTCGAACGCTGCATGACGTTATCAGAAGAAGAAGTTACAGATCTTTTTGAGAAAATGATGGAAGACATGAATCTCTCTAAAGCTCCTTTAAGAGACAAGGATTTGTCCACAAAACGTGAGATGGCTGACAAGTACCTTACTGCACCTGCCAAATCTGGTGGACTGAAAAACAGTAAACATGAGTGTGCCCTGTCCCCAGCAATTCATGAACTGCAATCTGGAACAGCTGAAGAAAAGCTTCTTAACTGTCCTGAGTCTCTGAGTGTGTCTTTAACCAGCTAGGCTGACAGTTTTGGACATGAAGGCCTTGGACTTCTGCTGAATGCCTTGGAAAGGCTTCTGGACAAGAAACAGCAGGAAAATATCAATTAGAAGAATCAACGTAGACTTATCCGGTGCCTCAAAGCATTTATGAACAACAAATATGGACTGCAAAGGACTCTAGGAGATTAAAGTCTTCTACTGTTATCAAGAGCAATTGATCCAAAGCAACCACATGACAACAGCAACAGTGAAAATACTTTCTGCTATATAGTCAGATACACATAGAATAGGCTCACCAGCCCCAGCGACTTCAGAACTGCATGAACACCTTACCCTGGGAAACCCTTATGGTACCCAGCGACCCAGACATGCAAGGAGATGCAGGCAGCACTGTCATGGATGTGACAGCAGCATTTAGTCTTCAGCAACAAAAGCCTTTTAAGAAACATCCTTTCCTGTTCTGCTGGAGTTAGCATCCACACTACCCATGTAGTCCAAACACAGTTAGGCTGATGGGCCCAGCCCTGGTAACTCAGCTGGTCTTTCTCACAGAGATGCTTTGCTGAAGAGGCATGTCAGAGAACATCAGTGAGCCAACCACTGCGAAGCAGAGATGTGGCTGTGTTGAGAAGCACCAGGCTTTGCGATGAAAGGCATCAAGTTGTGCAGCAGTGGAGTTACAAAACACAGATGTCTAGGATCAAGTGGATCACTGTTTCATCTTAGCAGCTCTCCAGCAAGAAAGGAAGAAAGCCACTGGGTGCCTGCAGCCAATCCTGCCTCACTGATCTACCCTGGAACTGACATGTCTTCTTTAAGGCATTACCACCAGCACACAGCAAGTCCTTACCTGTATTAATCTCAGAAAAGCAATGCAGAAAACAGGATAAAAAGGCTGCTCACGGGACTAAGCATGCATCTTACCCTTCCCCTCACCTATATGCAGCAGAGGGAACCTCTGTCTGCACATTTCAAACCCTTCTCCACCACTGCCTTAGTGCAGCAAGAACCAGAACAGGTAACTCTGAGGTAGGTAGGATCTCCAGTATTGTATGCAAGTTGAGCACTTCCACCAGTGTTCTAGATCAGTCCTGCAAGTACAACTTGCATATTTTTCCATTAATATTCCAATCTTCACCAGAAGTGAACTGGCCAGCTAAGCTTTGGGGGGTAAGATACCGGGGAACCAAGAGTCTTGCTCCAGCTTCTGCTGAAGATTTTCGCTGGCACTAACAGGTATAGCCAAGGTGACAAGAAAATAGCCTTTTTTAGGAGAAAAGATGCCAACCACCCAAGTAAATGGGTAGGAGAATCCGAACAACAGCTTTGTTTATAGGCCTCTTGGATGAGACCTTGAATTATTTTCTTTGACGAGACAGATGATCTTGCTCTGTCCAGTCCAGTAAGCAAGATCAAATTCATAGCTCAGTTTTACTAACATTTCTGGCACTTATGTATGGCGGATACAGCAGAAGGGAGATTGCAGTAAACAAAGGCATCAGCAGACTGGATTCCAGAGCTCGTACTTTATGACGACCTGAATGATCAGAGCTGTACTTTTGCCAGGTGAAGAGGCTAGAAGGAAATTTTCAAGATTCACATCCACGGTTGGGCACTCTTCTTGATGAGCTAGCTGAAGTACCTGTTGGACCCTGTGGTGCTGATACGCCTGTGTGCCCTTCACTGACACTCATCTCAGAGAGAGTATTAAAGTCATGTATTAAAATAGAAGATTTTCTTAGGGCTATGCAGAAAACCGTTCCAGCATCACAAGTGCAGTGGCTTCCCCTGCACAAGTACCATTACCCGTTATTAAGCCACTTCTCAGAAACACTAGACAGAATTCTACAAGCCTTGCAGAGGTTATTTCCACACGCAGACCTTGCATAAAAGGATCAAAAGCAAGAAAGTATAGATCAGGCATGTCCAACCTGTGACATGGGAGAGCTAGTAATCAGCCCCTCAGATTTGTCTCAGAGGAATCTGAGAAGAAGCTGAAGTCCACTCCAATGCTCACGGCATGGGAAATAAGTAGGATGGAAGCCATGGTGCAATTAGAAAAACATGGCTTAATAGCTATCACAGAAACGTGGTGAGACGAATCACCCAAGTGCAACACTAAAATTGAGGGCTACAAGTTTTTTGGAAGAGGTAAGCAGGGAAGGAGGGGTGAAGGAGTTGCCGTCTACGTTAAGAAATGGATAGATGGCAAAGAGCTGCCTCTGAAAAACAACCATGGACAAGTTGAGAGCTTGTGGGGTTAAAATTTAAGACCAGAACAATAAAGGGCATCTGGTGGTTGGTGTCTTCTACAGGCTCCTGATCAAGGGAAGCCTCTTGATGAGGCCTTCTCACATCGTCTACAAGAAGCATTGTGTTTGAAGTATCTCATCCAGTTGGGGCACCTCAACTGCCGCCTCAATGTCTGCTGGGAAAACAAGACAGCAGGTTGTAAGCAATCCACAAGACTCCTAGAGTGTACTCAGCATAACTTCCTGGTCCAGATATTACACAGACCAGCAGTGGGTGAAGTATTTCTGGATCTGGTCCTCACTGATGCAGGAGAGCTCATTAAAGAGGCTAAACCTGGAGGCAGAGCGGGCCATGGGGATCATAGAACAGCCTGGGTTGGAAGGGACCTCAAAGATGAGCTAATTCCAACCCAGCACAGGAAACCAACTGTTTCCTTGGCTGCATCAAAAGAGAGGTGGCCAGCAGAGCAAGGGAGGTTACTGTTCCCTTCTGCCCTCATGAGGCCCCATCTGGAGTAATGCATCCAGGCCCATGGTCACCAGCACAAGAAAGACAAGGAAAGGTTGAAGGGACTTCAACACAAAACCCTGTTCTGTCTCCACCTGTATTTGCAAAGCACAAACGCTCCCAACATCTTGAGTTGTTTAACGTGGGTAACAATCTTACTGCTTTTTCAGACATTTACACACACACATCACCACCACTTCCACTGCCATAACTGGTATTATGACAGTCTCTGTCCTCCCCTCTCTTTGTGTCTCAGTAGCAACATGCTTCAAGCTGTCATTTCTTTCTAGTGCAAGCAGAGCTGAGTTGTGGATATTTCACTTACTCACAAGCAAAGGGATTAAACAGCAGACAAAAGCATCAAAATGAGAATCACTTCTGCTGGCCATACCACACTTCATAAGCAAGTACAGCTGGGCAGACAGTACCTATGTGCAATGCATGTCCTCTGCCTTTGCTGCAGTTGTGACAGGGATCCTTACTCTGCTTTCAAGCTTTTATGCTGGATTAAATCTGTGACTTCATGTCACTACCCTTTGCTTCTTACTACTGTAAAGCAAGAGGTAGGTGCAGATGGGTATGTATGTGGAAAATACCTTCAACTCTAATCTGGTGATTTAGCCAGATACTCATAAATCTGCAGTCTTCATAATGCTTGCACTGTCTATTACAGCAAATACATAATTAATGGAGAGGTCAGAAAGATCCACCATCATGGAAGAAGAACAGTGGATTTTTTTTTTTTGTCCCTTCAGTTTGTTTCAAATTGTGAGCAGCTGTGTCCCATCACACAACCTCTGCTGCAAAATCCCCAAGGTAGAGGTCTGGCTACAAGACTAGACAGGGAGAGGAATCCAGTAGCACTAGTAATAGATTGTACACTCCGGTGTATATGTTCAAGTAACGCACTTTTTTTCAGGATATTAAAGTGAGTTATAAACAAGACTTTCCAAGCTAAAAGACTTGTGATTTCTTAGTAATCCAGTTGAGTAACAGAGAGAGATTTGGTTTTAGAAGCCCTTCAAAGAAGCGTGAGTGTCAGATCGGCTAATGAAACAGCTTAATCTTCTCCTGTGCCCCGTGTCCCTTGTGAGATATGTTCAATGGGTACCCTTGGCCGCCTCTTTGTACATTCACATTCCTCCTTTAGTGCCTGTCCTGGAGCCCCTGAGGTCGCCTGAAGCTCTTTCTCTTGACAAAGAGGACAGCAAGCTGTGAGACCTTTCTTGCGACAACTCAGACACGTCAGGACAAGCTGCCGGCAGTGCTGGCTGGAACAGAGTTTATACTGGTCCCACAGCGTCCCACAGTATCTGCATGCTGCAAGGAGGAAAAAAAAACCAAACACATTAAGACCCACATTGCTCCATCTGACCCTTGCGCAGAAAGTTTTCTGTGGCATCGGGAGGTTGAAATCCCATTTAAGTGGCTATGTACTGTCTCCCCGCCTTAGTTTTATTTTTTAAAAACATACTTCATTTTTGAACTTCTGATTTTAATGTAAAAAAAGTCACCCTACGACAAGGAAAAAGCTGTTGCTTCCTCTAGTTCAGATCAGACATGATCACACATATGACTGCAGTACTGCTTCCTAAAGGAAAGCTAAAGCCAGGTTTCCTCTGTTTTCTTGGCAAACGAGTACCTGGCAACTGAGAAGACAGCAACAGGTATTTCATTTGAAATAGCTGAAGAGTGACCACAGCCAGAAGACTAAGTGAAATTCTTAGTAACTTCAAGTAGAAATCACTGAAATTCTGCAAGCTACAGAAGGCTTCATCCAAGCATGGAAACAACTAAGTGCTACCACCTTCCCAGCACCCATCAGACTATGCCGATGTTCTCCGAGATCACTGGAATACAGACCAGCTGAACTGAGACCAGCACAACTCTAATGCTTCCATCACTTGGCCAACCGTAGTCTGATCATGTGGGAAACAAGCAGGTAACGACACTTCTGATTTGACACCTCCACTTAACAGCAGCTCTGCATGATGCTTCATTTTACTGCCCAGATTAAGAAACTGTTCAGAATCATAAAATCACAGAGTGAAACCACAGAGTTGATTATCATAATGAAAAGTGACCGTACTGAGAGATCAAAGAGAATGAAGATGGAACACACAGACACGTCCGGTTCCCCATGTTCTAGACATCTCAGTGGAATCCACTGCAATAACTTCTCAGCCTTCTGCACTTCTGTTATCCAGTCTTACCTGAGATGACATCTTCATTGGAACAAATGGCATAACGATCATCAAATACAAACAACTTTCCCCTGTAGAAGCCATCTGGAAATTCCTCCAAGTACTTATGAATTCCACCTTTTAGCTGGTAGACCTCTTTGCACACTGCCTGTTCAAAGCACAATAGCAGAAATGCTGAAGCAGACAGTAGCAGTGGGCCTATGCCAGAGTTCCAAAAGCAGATCTGAAGACATTAGGGGTTCACTGAAAATAAGCAGTTTCTCAGTGACCCTCAGATAGCACCACGAGTGCCCAAAAATCTAGTTGGTGCCACAGGGCAGCTCTCACAATGCTGGCTTGTTGACATAATTCAAAATGTATGCTTCATAGTGTACTCAAAAAAAAACACAAAAGAAAGAAGGCTGGAAACTATATTGGCTGAGGGAGCTTTGCTGCCCCACATGTCAAACACTTGAACCTCTGTAAACACTGCTCATTTTGGTTTTTGTGTAGTGAGTTGTTGACAGAAACAGAACTTCTCAATGTTCACAGTGGTGCAGCAGAGAAAGAATCAAGGTTTACACGCCTGTGCTCTGTTCTCTTGCTCTATACAGGAATGGGACCCAGGACAACAGTGGGATGGAAGGCACAAACACAATAGTGCGGATCCAACTCCACTGCACTGGAAAAATCACTGACAAACTGACTTGCACCACAATGAAACACTCAAGCTGTGCCGCAACAAGACAGAGCTAGAAAGAGCTTGCAGAAACACTAAAGAATGCTCTCGAGCTCACCTGAAAGACCACTAAAATGGCCAAGGCACTTTTTTTTTTTATACCTTTTCTCAAGAAATAGGTTACTATTTTCACTCCTGCAACTGTAGCACACTGTGCTGAGATGCAATGTAAGGCCTGTGTCCTGGACAGGCACCATGAAGCAGATGTGAGACAAATATTTCCCCACACTGAGCAGTTTATATTTGTAAGCATTTACCAGCAAAATAAATGACAGGCACCCTTGAAGCAGTCTCAACTCCTCAACCCTCCCACACTCAGAATGGTATCTCACCTTGCTCCGCAGGTAAGCAGAGCCTCTTTCACAACGAATGCCTCCTGTGCAGTACATCAGGACACGCTTGTTTTTGAACAGCTTCAGGTTTTCATCAATGTAGCTGGGAAAATAGCTGAACTTCCTGATATCTGGAGCTAGACAGCCCTGGAAGTGTCCCTGAAACAACATCAGCTAGGTATGTGAATATGAACACTTACATGGTAAGGTCTGTGTCTCAGACTAGAGGAAATAACTAATTTTGGGACAGATCAACCAGGTCACTGCACACTCCCAACACTGCACCTACTCCAGGATGCTCCTCAACTGCATTTAAAATTTTGTATATGTTTCTTCTCATTCAAGCATAAACGAGGAATCTAATCAGAACGCAACTGTCACAGAGAGGATGAACTACTTGTGTAACAGTAGTGAAGAGCAGGAAAATGGAATACAAAAAGTGGGACAACCCCATTTGTGAGATATGGGACAAGGAAAATATCCTTACAAATTATACTAATTTTAGTTCACACTGTCCAATATTCTGTACTCATGTTCTACGAACCACTTTGTCTTTTTCACACTCCAAGATGTTTAAGCACCCTGCCAGGCAGGCTCCATTCTAGGAGTTCCACTGCCTGTATCTAACCATCACTGTGAAGCTGAGCTTGTCACACCTTCCAGTTAGTGTGATCAGTCCTCCCCAGCAAAGTTACATCCCCCAGATGTGGACTGCTTCCCTGCAGCATCTGTAACACACTGCAAGAAGCAAGCAAACACTTACTATTTTACTTTCATAGAAGTTCCTACAATCCAGCAAGATGGTATCACTTTGTCCTTGACTGGACTGAGACAGATAACGTTCTACTTCTCTGTGAAATTCCTGAGGGGTTAAATGGATTCCTTCAGAGTAAAGAGGAAGAAAAAAAAACAAAAAAACCACAAAGTTTTGAGAATCAGAACCACAATATAATATTATGTAATATTATATATGATCTCCCTGATTCAGAGTCTCCTCGGATTTCCAACTAAAAGCTAAAACAGAAATTTTTCTGTGACAATTTAAAAAGTTATCATTTCAACTCATCCAGACAAGCTTATCCATGCTCAGTTTCCAATTGCAGTACTTTCCAAAGAAACCAGTTATTTCTGTTCCACATGAGAAAAAGCAGCAGATACTTTCCTGTCTGTACGGCGTTTGTTACATCCCCCTAGCAACTCTTTGAACTCTAAAGAAATAAGAAAATATGTTTCCTTTCACTTGGCTCATCTTTCATTGCATTTAGATGTGCTGAAGCTTACAGAGAATCAACATTTTACCTGAAATTCACCTCTGTTGATCAAAATGGAAAACTAATGTAAGCGTAACCTGGATTTACAGTTCTTTGCTTTCAGGTTTCTCAGAACTCAGAACTCTCAATTTACTGGAATACAAAAAGCCTCATTCACTAAAACCCCTTTTATGAAAAAAAAATATATATAAAAAATAAAAAAAAAAATTTAAAAAGGTATATAAAAAATAACCCTACAAGCAAATCATTAAGGTGATGGAAACCATTTCCACAAAATACTGTTAAATAGAAGTTAAAAAAAAAAAAAATTAAAAAAAGAGAAGTACAAACATGGTGTCAGAACGTGAAAAGCCTCCTACCCACCCTGTAAACTGTCTAGAAATGGGGAAAAAACGAACAAACACAAAAAAAAAAACCCTGCCAAAACAGCAGAAAAACACCGGAAAGAAGGGAAGTCACAGAAAGATGCTGCAGAAATTTGCCACCAACAAAAAATAGTGGTGGAAAAACAAGTCCAAACTTGCTCTGCTAATTGGTATTTTTAGTGCTCTGCACGCTGTTACATGCATAGTAGCACAATTTAGGACTGATCAGAGGAGCTTTATGAAATGAGAGAAAGTTTGGCTAGCAGCTGCCCCCCCTGCTCCCCTGTTGTCTGTGATGTGAGTGCAGAAACTCAAACAGTGCACCATTTCAGAGAAAAAAAAGTACGGGGTGAGGAAAACAATCACTCCAGTGCTAGCAAAGCCAGGTATCCATGCCTGGGAGGGATGCTTTCCAAACAAATAACTGTTAATAAGGGCTCCCAAGAAAGGCTCCCTCAGTAGCTTGTTAAACTGCCACAATTGCAAGTAATCAAGCGGTGAATAAGAGAGAGATGGCTCTTGACACAGCCCACAGGGTGAAGTATCCAGTGTTATTGAAGCTCAGAAATGGAGAAATGCAGCAATCACCGACTGTTAGCTTTTGGTTCAAGGGAATGCTCTTGTTGTTGAGTAACTTCTTAGCCAGACCTTTTAATCTTAAATATAGATCATTTTACCAACACATTACCATCTACATAAGCGTCCTTAGAGTAGACACCCAGCAAGTTACCTCTTACCAGTCTTAATCCATGCTAAACATTTACAGGAAGCAGAAAACAAACGTTTGTGTCAGGAGCTGTCATGGATCTGATTCAGAAGCTCTTTCTGCTGTGCTGTGACAGACAGGAGCGTGGCTGCTAACTTCAACACAAAGAAGGGCAGATCAACAGTACCGAATGAGGAAAGATACATGCACTCAAGAGTGAGCTCCTGCAGGATTCTAGCACTTTCTAGAAAAAAAAAAGTTAAATGCAGGTCTTTGCATCCACAGCAAGAGAATCCACTGGATCCAAAGGACTACGTGCTAATGACAATAAAAGCACTAGAGCTCTTCACACCTATCAATTCTAAGCAGTCACAAGCACCTACAAAATATTCTGAATAAATGTACTCAGGAATTGAGCATCCTTCCTATGTCCTACACCTAATCTCAGTCTACACTGACTTTAGCAGGCGTTCAGTGACACTCCCTGACGAAAGAATGAAGTTCTTACCTTCCCAAAACAAGGTAACTGCTTGATGTCCTTTGAACTGTCAGAGTTTGCTACAAAAAAAAGCTGTTAATTCTAGGCTCTTTGAAGCAGCCAAACACTCAGGAAACCAAAATCTGGGCTAGCAAATTCCCTATACCATGAATTTTGACTACTAGTAAGAAATCCATTTCTGTATTTTTTTTTTTCATGCATCCTGGCCACTAGGCAAAAGGAAGTGATTCTTTGTGCAGATACCTTATTCTCATTTACCTCTCACCTGGGTGAGATCCTCTTATTTTTCACAAAATCGACCTACCAGTTTCTTTGTAAGAGACTTCTTTAGGATCAATGCCCAGTGGTACAATTTCTTTGAATACTCCAACTCGAAGATCTGGGAAACAGTGAGCTCCTCCTGCACTACTCTAGGAAATAAAACACAGGAATAATGCATTACAGTTTCCAGGTGTGAAGATCAAAAATATCCACTTATTTTAATTTGTACATCGCACTAGAACTTGAAAATGTCTCAGTGGCTGAGAGAAAGAACATGCCAAAATCCGGAGGGCTAGGGATCAGTTCCACCACCAGCAGTCAAGTCCCAGTGACCACCCAGCATGTGTGTCAGGCCCCATCTGGCAGGTGTCAGCAAGCAGTGGTAAGGCTGAGAAAACTGTTCTTTCTTAATTAGAAACAGCATTGCTAACATCTATGACGAGAAGGTCAAGGCCATGACCCAGCTTACTGACCCTGGCAGACATGGTAAATAAATAATCTCTTATTGTGACAGACTATTTTGATGCATCTGGAGCTGCAGATCTCTTCTGATCCTCTGACCCCCACAGCAAGCATGGGCATGCCTCCTGTCATATGCAAAGGGAACTGCAGTGGTTCAGTACTGAAAAAGACATGTGGAAGGTAAGCCAGGTGCAAGTCTTCAAAACTACAGACTGTTCCCCCTGCCATACTCAACCTTTGGAGGTCATGGCAAACACTTTCTGGGAGGCAACCCTCTGCAGAGGACAGGATCAAAATGTAGGAACAAGCCTCAAATATGGTTTAGAAGCATACAAACACACTGATGGAAGTGCAGCACTTTGCCAGTTCTCACAGAAATCAGTTTGCAGCAACTACAGTGGCCACTGAGTATTTTCACAGCCACAGGCCCAACACTCACTCATTCGTTCCCATCTTCTTGGCACAGGAACTTGAAACACTCACTCACTTGACATGCAGAGCAACTAGGGCACAGAAAAGACCACTGTGGGCTTATGCATGAGTGCTGGTGCCTGGAGAGGTCATGCAGGACTGCAAACTTTTCCAATGTAAAATTCCACCTATATTTTGTTTTTGCAACTGCACAGTAACAGGTCAGGTTTGCCTCTGTGTTTCATACAAACTCAATACACAAAGTGCTAAGTCTGAATCAGCACTGTAGTTCTATGTGGGATCTGAGTCACAAGTCTCACTAACACTTTTCAATAGTTATTTACGAGGAACAAAATGGTACTCCCTGCAAGTAAAATTGTGTGAAAAAGAAAACAGTAGTAAAAACAAAAGCAGCTTTTCTCCCCCTCAGAAAAACAACATGCAGTGAAGGGTTAGCAAAAGCCCACCAAAAAGCCATATGGTGCACACAGCTGCCACCATCATCTGAAGACAGTAATCAGCATATATGTTCAGGCTTAAGTAGAGTTATGCACTAAGTGCAGTAAGGATGAAAAACTTGACTCTGCCCATATACGTATAGATATATTGCTTTTTTTTCCCTACAAAACATCCAATTCACAGAGTTGACACTGCACCTGTAAGGACAGCAAAGCCTGCACAACACCTGAAACAGCAGGTAAGGACCATGAGAATTCTTTGCATGGATTGTGATGCCCAGGTTTTGACATTCAAATGAGAGTAAATGCTTGCAGAACACAAGCATATTCCCTCCTTCACTTGTATACAGCCCACAAGACTTTGCAACTGATGCCATCACTGCTTACAGTAACTGCTACTGCTGTTTGTACCAGCAGATTTCTAAACAAAGTTTAGGAACATCTATCTTAGGTCAGCACAGAGAGAGCAGAACTGCTACTGAGCCACTGAAGTATTGAGAGAAAAGAGTCTTGCGGACCAGCTGTTCTCGCACGCAAGTTGCGTGGAAGCTTGCACATTCCCCTCTGCTTCATGTCTGTACTTATTTGTAAACTCTCACCAAATACAGCTTAAGTTACAAAGGTTGATCAACAACTTGAACTTATGAACTTTGGACTTACTGCGCAGGCTTAATAGGCTAATTAATACTAAATTCTCCACCCTGAGCAGCATTAAGTTGGAGTTAATTATACTTGTGATGCATGATACAAAGGGGGAGGGATTATATATCAGGGAAAACACATATTTGGCAGACAGGGAAGTCTAAAACCTCCAAGGACTTCAGACAAAGGAAAGGAAGAGGGATCATACAGTCAGGAGATAGGAATATAAAGGAGGCTGTTGACAATTTGAGACCTAAGGGAAATGCCCCTAGCGGACTCTCCCTTTATTTGAATGAAGAAAGCCGAAGACTCTCCTCTGTCTATTTTTTGGGGAAATAAAGATAATTGAGCAAGCCTGTTTGAGCAGAATTTTTCCCATCAACTATACTATTAAGAACCAGCGTGCTCATTTCTTAAATATGTCCTGCATTAACAATGCCTATGCAGAAAACAAGTTTTTCATACCTTGAAATCATCTCGACACAAAATGTCTTTGAAGAGAGGCTGAGCAAGCATAACTTCAATGTAGAGATTGGTAGCTACTTTGCTTCCACCAACTGTTCCATTAATTCCTTCTGAAGCAACTCGTACCTAGAAGGCAAGAGAAGAACAGGCCTAAAGCTTAGTACCAGCAGAAACAGACTGTGGTGAAAATGAGCAAAATAAGATTTGGTGATGAAAAGCACAGAAGTAGGCTTGGAAAAGAGACTAATGAAGGGAAGGAGACGAAGATGATTACAGTGAAGTTGAGTGGGAAAATAAAACACAGTAAAACAAAAACTGGAATGAAAAAAACAGTAACTGCTTTCAAGCTGTTTCAAAAGACTGACAGAGAGGTAAGTTTGAGCAATAAACAGAGAAATGACAACTGGTTAACTGGTAGGGTTCTCCCAGGCAACCCTACGGGTTTGGGGAGGAGTGGATGGAAAGGGAGCTTGGTGTGCTGATGGGCTGCATATGAGCCAGCAGTGAGCCCAGGTGGCCAAGAAGGCCAATGGCATCCTGCCTTGGATCAGGAATGGAGCGGTGAGCAGGACTGGGGAACTCATCCTGCCCTGTACTTGACATTGGTGTGGCTTCACCTTGAGTGCTGGGTTCAGTTTTGGGCACCTCAGTACGGAAAGGACACTGAGGTGCTGCAGCAGGACCAAGGAAGGGCAACAAGGCTGTGAAGGGCTTGGAGAATGTGGCCTATGGGGAGAGACTGAAGGAACTGGGGCTGTTTGGTGTGGGGAAGAGGAGGCTGAGGGGAGACCTGATTGCTCCCTGCCAATATCTGAAAGGCGCTCACAGCAGAGCAGGGCTGGTCTCTGCTCACTGCTGACAGCTGGATGAGGACGAGGGGAAATGGCCTCAAGTTGCACCAGGGTAAGTTTAGGTTGGATATCAGGAGAAAGTTCTTTACAGAAAAGGTTGTTGAGCACTGCAATGGGCTGCCCAGGGGGGTGGCTGAGTCACCATCCCTGGCTGTGTTTAAAAACCGTTTGCATGTGGTGCTCAGGGGCAGGATTTAGCAGAGGGCTGTCAGAGTTTGGGTAGCATGGTTGGGTTGTGGTTGGACTTGATCTTTAAGGTCTTTTCCAACCTGAGTGATTCTGTGATTAACAAGCAAATACTGCAGTCAGCATTCAAATTCCTACTGAAATTCTGCTTCAGGAAGAGCAGTGGGATTGTGCTCAACAACTCAGATAGCTGAAAGAAAAATGTGATAATGTACAACACAGCAGGCAACACTAAATGTCAGCGTGAGTCATTTTACCTACACCACTGACACAAACGAAAACTTCTGAGGTGGAGTTAAAAAAAAAAAAAAAAGACTGAATACAAGAGAGAAAAAAAAGCATTTGAAAAGGCAACTGCTGAACCAATTTGGAAAGGGGAAAAAAAAAGGGGCACCTTCCTCCTCCCCTATCCAACCACCAGACAAGATACTGAGCCAAAGAAAAGAAGTCACTACATCAGGACATTTCACCCCTAGACTCTGCAGATGTAGAATAAGGAAGATGCCTTCTTTTCATTCCTTCTGAGCAAGGAAGGTTGGGTCTGTAGAATGTAGACCGCTGAGTCCATCCTGCTTTAAACAGCACCAGCTCTGAGAAAAACACTAGACAGGATGCAAATCTGTTAACTCAGTTAGAATACCCTGAGAAATTCCTGTTCCCAGAAATAGAAAAAAAATAGGAAGCACAGAAAGAAGAAAAATAGGATCTTTGGTAAGAAGATTAAAAACCCAATGCTTTGATGTTACAGTCCATCCTGCACAACAGCACACACACTGTTCACACAATAATTTCTTTGCAGCTAAGACACAAGGAACTGACATGAACAATCACAATTTAAAAAAAAAAAAAATCCATACCAGGAAGGACTAAAAATAAGAAAACAAACAAATAACACAGGAGACATTAGACAGAAAAAAAGAAGAAAAAATAATATCTAAAGATGAGTAAATGGGGCAGATATTCACTGTAGACATCCAAACAAATTAAAAAGACATCTCTTTTACTGCCAGCAGCAGTAATGCACTTGAACCTAATATGGCCTATCTTAGGGCGCAGAGGCTGATCTCCTACTATTGGCATAGAAAGAAAAGTCTTCAGGAAAAGTCAAATATCAAAGTAGTGGCCTGCTCTGAGTTATCCTCTCGGAAAAAGTCTACCTCCCTTGGGAACACCAGCTTTTGAGCCCAGAATTAGTCCTTGAAGGGAGTGTATAAACGGCAGGGGGAATGGCTGTTGGTGAGGGTGGATGGTGACAGGACAAGGAAGAATGGTTTTTAACTGAGACAGGGGAGGTTTAGGTTGGATATGAGGAAGAAGTTTTCCCCCCAGAGGGTGGTGAGGCACTGGCACAGGTTGCCCAAGGAGGCTGCGGATGCCCCATCCCTGCAGGCATTCAAGGCCAGGCTGGATGTGGCTCTGGGCAGCCTGGGCTGCTGGTTGGTGACCCTGCTTACAGCTAGGCCTTTTCAATCCAGGCCGTTCTATGATTCTACAAAATTCCAATAAGTAATTAACACCTCTGGTGGCCCTGAGATGAAGCCAAATAGTCACTCTTGCTGTACATTTTTTAAGGGGAGGTAGACCACACAGGTTGTGAATGATGTTACATTGAGCTGAGGCATCTGTTTTGCCATCTTACCTTCAACAACAGAACACCTCTATTCTACTTCCTTATCTTCACTTGACCACAAGTTTCACAGCCTCCACATTTTGTACTTGAGCTTACATTAATGCAAGCCTCCTGTCCTTCAGCTCGTATCCGCTCACATTATGCGAAAGGCTGTTCTCACAACACGGAAAAGTTGTTCTCATAATTCAAAGTAAACAAAGATACCATGCAAGAACAAGCACTGCTATGGGGTGGTGTGACCAAAGCTGCCAGTAGTTGTTCTCTTCTCATTCCTGACAAGTCCGAATTACAGCTTGGTGCCATGACCCTAACCACTGCACCCGGTAGTGACACACTCAGCAGACCCCAATCTCTGTGTGCTGCACGTCCAGCTTGGCCTTCAGGGCATGCCGTGCTGCACTTGTGTTCTACATGATACTTTACAGAGCCAGGATGCCTTTCTTAACAAAACTGTAACAGTCTAGCACCTTGTGTAAAACGCTTGCTGCCTTGCAAGCCACATCATTCTGGAGTAAACAAAGAGCATAGTTTTCTGTAAGGAATAGGACTGTTGCCTAAATCTTACCTTGCCAGTGAGATGCAGATGCTGGCAGAGAGCCTTTTGCCAAGCACAGAGTTTCTCTGGATCCTTCACCTCACAGTAGCAGTAATACAGAAGTACTTCTCCCACCTTGCTGCCCAGAACATAGCAAAGATAAACAAACAGGAAAAGGATGTTAGAGTTGAAAGCACAAAAATACATTATTAGCATCAACCTCTTAAAAAGCAGATGATTTTCTCCCTTTTTGTTGTTACAGCATAAAAAAGAGCAGCAAAACATAAAACTAGTGGGACACTGGAGCTTGCTTTTATTAAACTGGCACATCAAACTTGTTCAGTGTCAGTGTCTGCAATTCTTGGTGAGCTCTCAAAATGTTCATTGGAGATTTATGACAAAATGTAGTCTTCCTGTGCTTCCTCCCTGAAAACACTTGCTAACAACTGTGCAAACTACCAAAAAGTGGTGACATGAATAAAGTCTCACTGTGAAGAGAGGGATATTTCTCTGTGCTAAGAGGGGGCTCATAAATGTCTGGTAAAGAGATGGTTAGATTTTTGAGTTGAACATATCAGTGCAACTCTATGCATTCTATTTGAAAACTTGCAGGTCATGTATTTATGTGACTAACAACAAAGTCACAAATATACCAAAAAAACTGAACCTATTTTCAGATTCCTGTAACAAAATGGAAAGCAAGAGTTATATTTATATATTTCATATAAATCATACTTATACACAGAGCAAACTGTGCTGTTCTCCTTCCTACTGCTGCTCTCCTTCACAAACCCCATATCTCAAATAGCACAGACCTGTTTTAGAAAGGCATACCACTCTGACAGCCTGCTTCCCCAGAGCTTCCATCGAAAAAGGAAGTATCATTTCAGCATCAGGAATCATGTTTCACATGGGATTCAAGAGAGTTCAAATAAATCAAATGACTCCTGGAGAGAGTCCCGATTCAAGGAAGCAGGAAAGGAAAGAAGGAATGGGGTGCCCAGGGAGGTGCTGGAGTCACCAACCCTGGAGGTGTTTGAGGAATGTTTGGATTTTGTGTTGAGGGACATGGTTTAGTGAGAACTACTGGTGACAGGTGGATGGTTGGACTGCATGATCTTGAAGGTCTTTTCCAACCTTGGTGATTCTGTAATTCTCTGAAGACCCCTGAGAGCCTTGAGAGCTGCCAGCAAACTTTCTGCAGGATGGGCATAAAAAAATCATAGAGTAGAAGGGCCCAGGTTGGAAGAGATCTTGAGGATCATGAATCTCCAACCCTCCCTGCCACAGGCAGGGCCACCAACCTCCACATTCCACAGCAGCCCAGGCTGCCCAGGGCCCCATCCAACCTGGCCTTCAACACCTCCAGGAAAGGAGCATCCACAGCCTCTCTGGGCAGCTGTTCCAGCACCTCACCACTCGCTCTGTAAAGAACTTCCCCCTGACATCCAACTGAAATCTCCCCTCCCTCAACTTCAAACCATTTCCCCTCGTCCTGCTGCCATCTCCCCTTTCCAAGAGCTGACTCCCCTCCTGTTTGTAGGCTCCCTTTAGGTCCTGAAGGCTGCAGTGAGGTCACCCCGCAGCCTTCTTGTCTCCAGGCTGAACGAGCCCAGAGTCCCTCAGCCCATCTTTATAGGAAAGGTGCTGCAGCCCCGATCATTTTGTGGCCTCCTCTGGAGAGCCATCACTCCCATAAAAAGGCAGTATCGCCAGATGCCCGGCCTTACCTGGTCAGCTCCTCACGGTGGAGGCCGCTGGTGTCGGGCAGCGCCTCGCAGAGCTCTCCGCAATCCCGTCCTCCCACCCGCTCAGCGGACACCGCCCTGCCGGCGGTCCCGGGCCCGGTCGCCTGCCGTTCGATGTCCCCGCCATGCTGCGTACCTACGTGCCGGTGGATGCCGCGGCGCTCGCGAAACGTCTGCCGGCAGCACCTCCACCACACGGCCGCCCCGCCACCCGGACAGGCGGCCGGCACCTCTTTCGCCTTGACAAACAAGGAGAACGCCTGCAAGACAGCCGGCCGTTACCACGGGCAGTAGTGGCGCGTCGCCCCGTGCCCGCCTCCTACGTACCTTTTTCCGGGCGGAGGCGCGCTGCTTTCTAGCGGCGGCCGCCTGAGGCCCGGCACCACCCCGCGGAACAGCCCCCAGTCCGGGCTGCGCCTCGCCCGGCGCCATCTCCCGCCGCTGACCCCACCCCGGAAGTGCTGCCCGACAGAAAGCGGAATCGGAAGTGGAGGCCAAGCCGCCGGAAGCGGGCGGGGAAGGAGCGCGGTCGTCTTAGTCCCGCGCGGCGCGGAGCGGAGCGGCGCGGCCCGGTTCGGTTCGCTTTTCGCTTCTTGCTTCTTGCTCGGTGCCATGTCGCGGCGGCGGCACAGCGACGATAGTGATGACAGCGATGGTGAGTGCTGGTGAGCGCTGGCTGATCCCGCGCTTCTCCCTGCCTAGCCCTGAGCGGGCACGGGCTGGGGTGGGCGGCTGATGAGCGGCGGGCGGTAACGATGTGCTCGGTGTGTCGGAGCAGGACAGCCTCACAAGCGGCGGAGGACGTCGGAGCCGTCGGAGATCGAGGAGAGACTCGAGTCGCTCATCTGCAGAGTAGGGGAGAAGGTAGGAGTGGCGGCCGCGTGGTGGCGGGGCGGAAAACGCCCGGCTCGGGGCTGATGCTGGAGCAGCCGTCGGCCGCAGTGCTGTGTTCTTTGGGCGCTGCGAGATCCCCAGGAGAGGCCGCTGCGTTGTGCGCCGTCTGCGCTTCTCGAACGGCTGGGATGGTCCCAGAGCTGGGGATTCGGCTCGTCCGAAGCCCCGCCGGGAGGAGGGGGGGATCGGGTGGCAGGGACCGTTCGCCCTAAAGGGAGCTGCGGGGAGAGCTGAGCTCAGCACAGGCTGACCTGGGCGATGCACTTGCCCTGTGGTTTCTCTGTCAGGCTTCATGTTGTCTGGTTGAGGTTGGAATATTTTCTTTTTGTCTTTTTTTCTTTTGCCTTCTGTAGAGTAACTCATCCCTGGAGAGCAACTTGGAGGGCCTAGCTGGTGTATTGGAAGCTGATCTACCAAATTACAAAAGCAAGATACTAAGAATTCTGTGTACTGTGTACGTATGCAGAAGAATGGGGGGGGACTGAGGGGTGCTCGCTTTCTTTGTGTTGGGTGTGTAAGTTGAAGTGCTTAAGGCAACCTGAGCATCTGTGGTGGCTTTTAGTCCTTGGCTGCTGTTACCATATCACATTGGCTTCCCTACAAGCAGAAGAAATAGGAGGAATGAACTCATTGAGTTCTGAGCGTAACTTAAGGAAGATATTCCCTTGCAGTACATTAACATGAACTGTATGTAGGGCTTCAAGCAGAAGAACTGCTGTTCTGTACTGCTCCCCAGCAGCAACAAAAGCAGAATGCTGGGTAGCACCCTGCTTCCCGAAGAAATGAAGGCACTGAAGCTGTAGGCTGCCAATATCTACTGCCCTGATGCCTTCCTGTGGCCTACTTCTCTGCTGTGGCCATGTGGTGCTCTGATTAATGAGCCTGTTCTTGGGAACGCAGGGGGGCTGCTGGCAGTGCTCTATTCATTCCCTAATGAGCAACAGGAGCAGAGGAGCCTTGTGTGAGGATGGGCTTGTGGAGGGGGCTGTCTCAGGGCATGAGAGCTGTGTGAAGGAAGCAGAGAGGGAAAATTTTCCAGCAGCTGGTGTTATAGCATTGTACGTGTTTTAAATATGCTTGTTAGGAATGTTTGTTGATATAATAATGTCATTTTTTCCTGTAGCAGTGAGATGTATTTGCAAATATGGAGTTAATCTACAGATGTACAAAAGAGGTTGAGGAAAGCTGTTTACAGTAGGACCCAGCATTTTCTTCTCTTTTCCCCTGTCATGTCCCTAAATCAATTGTTTTGGCTCGAGAAGCTTAGGATCCAACTTAACAGTGTAAAATGTGTAGATCTTGTGTAGTCTTAATATTTACATCTAAATTATGAATCTAAAAGAGTATTTTAAGTCTTTGAATAAATTCTATTACATTGCTTGGCCAGACCTCCAGAGGACTTCAAAATTGGAGATAAATAAAAAGCAAATAACTTAAATGTAGTTGAAAGTGACATCTGCTTTCCTAAAAAAAAAAAAAAAAAAAAAAAAAAAAAAAAAAGAAAAAGTTGAAAGTATTAACCACGGGACAGAACAACGTCATGTTAACACTTTCTGTTACTTCCACATGAAACAAGTTTAAATTATTATAAGCAAGTTCTGAGCTGCTATGCTGTTGCCATTTGGCTTATGATGAATAAGTGCTAACACCGTGTTTCTCTTTCTGTGTCAGTGCACGTCTGTTACCAGAAAAGCTTACTGTTTACACAACACTAGTTGGGTTGCTGAATGCCAGGAACTACAACTTTGGTGGGGAATTTGTAGAAGCCATGATTCGTCAGCTTAAAGAATGTCTGAAAGTCAATATGTACAATGAAGCTGTGCATTTAGTAAGTGTCTCTTTGTGTTAGATGTTTTTCTCACCTTTTTTCTCTCCTCCCTTTTACCTTTCTTAATTCCATGAGAGCTTGGCCTTACTACATGTATTACAGTCTTCACATTTCATCAGTGTGTGGTGTTGTATAGATATACTAAGAGAAAAGATGTTACGTGTGGAGTATTTCCTTCCCAAGGGGAGAAGAATCATGTCACAGTTGCAAATCGTGTTCCAAATGTGTACTTACACAGTTGCAAATTAACTTGCAGCCAAGGGAGGTCATTCTACCCTTGCCAGCCTTTTCTGCAGCAAAATATAAAAAGTGAATGAAACCCATGCTTTACTTTGTTGTTTTGTAAACGTTGCTCTTTTGGCTCTCATGGGAGGTAAAAAAGAAAAAAAAAAGACTCAGTCTTAAAAGCAGTGCTTCGTGGCTGCTACCAGGCCTGTGTTATCTGTCTCCCAAAGAGGGGTCGGCATCAAGCAGGCAGTTGCTAGTGCTTTCTCTGAAACCACTTGCTCAGCTCTCACTGAGAGCTCTCACTTTGGAGGTCTCATAAGTGAGAAGTCCAGTTGCAAGCTACCCTGCTTCGTTTAAAGCCCATAGGTGAAAATTAAATTTCTAGTATATCAGTGCAGCTTGTCAAGAGACTGCTGTTTGGCAGTGGGACTTCTTTGGGAATAGAATTCTCATCACACCGTTGAAGGCACTGTCCTTTGTCTTCAGCTTCACCTTCGCTGGTTGTGCTCACTCACAAACAACTTGTGAGACAATGACAATTAAGAGGGTGGCAGAGGAAGGCTATTCTCAGCTCTGTCAGAGGCACATCAAAGGCTGTTCTTTGCAATTAATATTGGGAAAGTGCTCTTTGAGCACTGCACTGTGCTTAGCTCAAACTTTCTTTCCCAAGGCTTCTTCCCAGTGGTAGGTCTTCATGGAAAATATGCTTTTTTTTGGTGTATTTTGCTGTGTTGATTGTTTTTTATTTTTTTTAGACTTCTGTGTGTGTGTGTGTGAGAGAGAGAGAGAGAGAAGACACCCTTAAGAAAAACTAAGCCTTAAAAAAAAAAAAAAAAAAAAAAAAGATATTTTTTTTGTTAGAATTTAATTGTTTCTTGAGATTGCTGCAATAGCTGAGTTACATCAAAACAGGGTACAAACAAATCAAAAGATTGATGAGGGAGGAAGGAGGAAGGAAGCACTTCCAGTGTAACGTGTACCACTGCCGTACTCCAGTTATTTTCTACTTAAGTTGTCATTTATGTCAGTCTGGATTTCTTGTTAGTATGCCTCCAGATCAATGATGTATTCCTGCCAGGATGAATGTTTTCATTGCAAAGGCTGATTCCTCCTAGTCATTGTCACCCTTCTGAGACCTGACAACGCAGTCAGCTTTATCACAGGCTTTCTCTCTGTAGCTATCTGTATTTATGAACAGTTAACTATAGAAATTTATCTTGTCTGAAAGACTCTAAATGGTGTATAGATTCAACCCTGCCATTTCTGTCTCACCTCTGCACTCATGAAGAAACCGATCAATCTATCTTCATCATTTAAGAAGGCTTTTATTTTATTTTTTTTTTTTTACACTTCTGTAATTTTAGTGGTCTTTTTCCACTTGGGGGAGAGAAAATGTGGTTGTTGTTGTTCTGTGTGTTCTGTAACGTGTTTGCATGCTTTTAAATGCATCCTGGTGTTTCCTACCCTGTCATCATCAGGAGTTGTAATGTTACAATTATTACGGACTGACCTTATGGACGTTATAATGGACAAACTATTCGACTGTGCTTATGTTATTTGTTCCTTGTGCTTGCCAGGTGTACCTGTACAGTGTGCAGTATTTCTGCCTTCCTAGTACTGAATGATTACCCATATCTTTTGGTTGTAGTTATTCAAGTAATGTTTACCTTGGAAACGCATTTTTTTGGACTTTTTTAGGTTCGTTTTCTGTCTGATCTTGTGAATTGTCATGTCATAGCTGCACCTTCGATGGTGGCTATGTTTGAGAACTTTGTGAGCGTGACACAGGAGGAAGACGTACCACAAGTAAGCCAAAAATCTGCAGGCTCCCCCATGGCTGTTCTCACAGGCACCATTACTTTACCACTGCTTTTGTGCTTGGTGCAGGAAGGTTTTAGAGGCAGCAACCTAGATGGGCCGGTATCTGCATGTTCCTTGGTATGAGTGAAAGTGGCCCCTGGCATTTAGGAAATGCTTGTGCAGAAAGAAAGTGTGGGCCTCCATAGTGAGGTATTTGCACTAAATAAATCTTTACCTTAGCAACTGCATGGTGTCTGGCTTGTTCTGCCAGGTTTGTTTACACTCAAAATATGAAGATAATCTGCAGAAAGACTGTGAAAGTGATCACTTTCGAGTCTGATTGTCATAGTTCAAGTTAAAAATTGTACATTTTAACCAGTAATACATGTTTTTCTGTTCATGATTTGCCTATCCAGTCTTTAGTTGCTGATCTTTGTGTCACCACAAAACAGTAGTTTAAAGTAAAATGCAATGTTTATGTAAAATCTTCTGGAGCTTAGCTGTGTGCTTAAGTCTCAGAATATTTCTTTCCTGTAGGTGCGATGTGACTGGTACATATTTGCATTTTTGTCATCTTTACCTTGGGTTGGAAAGGAATTGTATGAGAAAAAGGATGCTGAGATGGATCGTCTCTTGTCTCAGACAGAAAGCTATCTGAAGTAAGTTGTAATATTTTTCAGAGACTTGTTCAGGATGACAATAACTTTGAGTAGTGTTCATTTAAAAAATACCAGGTCCTAGTTCTGAGTCATTTTGCTGTTGGGGGGAGGGGGAAGGGGAGGAACACTGAAAAAATGGACAGATACAGTGATCTAACTTTATAATTCTAAGAGTTTAGTTGCACTGTCTGGTGCTAGGGTATGGTGATGGTCTTGTCCAGCTTGTGCTGGGACAGCTGTAGCAGTAACTGCTGCAAATACCAAAAGGTGACCTTACTGCTGTGCAGTGAGACTAGATTTTGGCTAGGTGATTCAAGTTAACGTTGCTCTCAGGATATGATAACAGAGATTGTAATTACAATTCTTTTCTTTTTCTTTTGCACACTAGACTTCAACAACTGAAGAGATTAAGTAGTAGGGTACTCTTTTTTTTTTTTTTTTTCCCCTTACTGTGATTGTACTAAAAATGCTGTTAAGGGTTAGGTTTTCTTTTCTGTGTAAACAGACGCCGCCAGAAGATACATGTACCAATGCTACAAGTTTGGACTGCTGATAAACCACATCCACAGGAAGAAGTGAGTGATCTCTGTATGTTATTCTTTGAGAAAGTTTGAAAAACTGTTGTGATAGAAGCACAGTTCAAATAGCTGGAAAACTAAGAGCTAGCTCTGAAAGTGTTTGTGCTGTGAATTGTTCCCTGTTTGCCATTATTTCAAACAAGTTCTAGGGAAAGAGTTCTCGTCCTAAGTTGTAGCAGGTTATGGGGTGAGTAGAATTGCATTTTCTAGTTTGCCAACAAGCCCGTGAGTAGATGTTATTGAATGAAAAATGGTTGTAAGCTGTGGCAACGTTTTTGGAACTGGAAAAACAGGGCTTCATGCTACTTTTGTGAAAAGCAGAGTGTAGTTCCTCACTCCATAATGTCTTCTCTTTGCTTTGAAGTGGTTTTGCTCTCTCAGCACTAGGAAATGCCAAATAAATATACAGAAACTGAACTCAGCAGCTTCTGTGTCATCTTCCACAATTAAAGTAAAAATACTACAGGGGGAAGTTGGCATCTGTCTAGCTTGGTGTACAGCTTACCTTCTCTTGTTTTGTTTTGTTTTGTTTTGTTTTCTTTTTCCTCCTACCCCAAGTTTTTGGACAAACTTGATTGGAAATTGTGGTTAAAAAAAACCTAAGTTTCTCTTCAGGGAACTTTTTGAACAGTGATCTTTTATCCGTTTTTCATTGTTCTGGTTAAATTGGATTTAAATTAAAACCCGTTTTTAAATTTCCAGTTTTAACAACTGTCTTGTTAATGCCCATCTGAAGAAGTAGGACTTATGATTAGGACTGATTCATCATGAGTTTTCTCCCTGCTTGATATCTATTTTCTCACCTTTTTGTTAGTAAGAAAGTGATTCACAAAATGCTTTTTAGCCCTTGTGTTCTCCAGAGTACCTTGAGTGTTACTTTTCCTGTGGGGCAGTTGTTGTTAATATGTTTTTCCATTTCATAGTGTAATGCAGATGACTTCTTTATGGAGGTATTTCACCTCAAAAAGTGCAATCAGTAAGGCCTCAGACAGACTGTTGGAGTCTGTGGCCTCCCTAGTTCTTGAACCTGCTTTTAGCAGGGGCATAGAAGGCAGCTAAACAAATTGGACCTGTAGCTGTAGCACAAGTAGATGTTTGTGCCATTTCTGAGAGGGTGCTGGGGCTTGGAATTGATTTGAAAATCATAGCAAAGATATTTGATTGTTGGCACTATTGCATTTGTCTTGAATATGCAGCAGCTGGTACTTTTCAACATGGTGGTTCTCCAGAATGTCTCTTCACTTTTAGTATAGATACTAAATCTCTTTAAATATCACTCGTGAGCACTGACTGAAATGTCTGTAGTCTTGCTGACGTGTTCAAAGGATGGCTGTCATGCATGCATTTCTGGTCTGCATTTTGCTGCTTAAGAACAGCAGATATATTTTGTTAACAGAATCTTTGGTGAAATTGGAGCAGCTCTGATGTTTAGCTTTTGAATTATTTCTTGATTTAATAAGTACTAGATCCCGTAAGTAGTAATATAAGCAATTGGTTTTTGTTGTGGGTTTTTTTTTTTTTTTTTTTTATTGAATCTAAGACATACATTTTTGATTGCACCGTGAGCTGCAAGTTTTGTTATAAGATTCAGCACATCTGATGTTTTGCACTGTTTTTCCCTTCAGTATTTAGACTGCCTCTGGTCTCAGATTCAGAAGTTGAAAAAAGACCGTTGGCAAGAACGACACATTCTGAGGCCCTACCTGGCTTTTGATAGCATTCTTTGTGAAGCACTGCAACATAATCTGCCGCCATTCACTCCTCCACCTCACACTGAAGACTCAGTTTATCCTATGCCAAGGGTTATTTTTAGGATGTTTGACTACACTGATGACCCTGAGGTATGTAACCCCTGCAAGGGGGAGTGAGCTGATTTTGCAGGTAGTGTCATGGTACAATCCAGGTCAAAATGCGATGTCCTTTCTCCCAGCACACTTAGTGGTTTGAAGATGGGCAGTAATTATACTTTGGTGCTGAATAAATTCTCTTATATCTCTAGTAACAGCATTCACAGAGGCAGCATTTCTTTCTTTAGAGATTTTTGATCTTTTTATTGCAGTGTTTAAAAAGTACAGTTTACTTCTCTGTTAAAATGAGATGATGCATATTGTGGGGTAAAAGAAATGTGATTCTTTGGAGTAGGTGGAAGGTCCATCTAGCCCCCACAGACTACCTCCAGCACTGTTCTGCAGCAAATACATAGATAAAATTGTGTAGGAATGGGAAAGAATGTGTATTGCTTTCCCCTAGTGCCTTTGTAAGTCCCTTTGCTTTAAATCTACTACCTTCAGTTATTGGCCAGTGATTTTTGCAGTCAATGAGATCATGACTTTATTCTGTCCACTCTATTCTGGCCTTTTTTCTCATATCCTCACTCACTCGAGAATGTTTCCAAGCAGCAAGTTAGCAGACTGCCTCATTGCTGTACAGATCGAAGAAAGAACTGGGTGCAACATGAACTTGTGATTATTTTCTCTAATTTTGTTCCCTTCTGTAATGAATCCTTGTATTCATTTTGTTTTGAATACAGGTCTTGCGTGTGCTTTCTCGGTAGGATACAAGGCAGTTGAGATCTCACCATGTTTGTTAGTTCTGTAAATGGCTAAGAGTAGTAGCACTGCAGTAATCTTTCATGAGTCATCACCTTTTTTTTTTTTCCTTTAACTAGGGCCCTGTCATGCCTGGCAGCCATTCTGTTGAACGATTTGTAATAGAGGAGAACCTTCACTGCATCATCAAATCCCACTGGAAAGAGAGAAAGACTTGGTAGGAAGAGCTTTGCCTTATGGAGCCCAGGCACTTCTTATAAGAACATGGCATCAGTAGCATCAGGGATGTGCAGAATCCTGAACTGGTTAAACAGGAGCTTGAGATTAAACGTTTCCTAGAGCATTTGATGAACTTGATTCACTACAGTTATCTGTATTGAAACTGTTACCTAGAATACAGTGGGGCTGTAGTATTCTGATAGTGAAGAGTCCCCGTGATCCCAGGGTAGAAATGCTGCGATCCCTTGGGAAAGGAATTTGTTTATAATAAAGAATATGCTGCAAAAATTGATGCTGGTGCACCTAGCTCTTCATGTTCCCATTAAGCTAAGTGGAGAGTGTGCTCATATGATGCTTCCTAGAATTTTAGAGAAGCTGATTTGTTGAGTTGCGGTGAACCTTTAGTTAGTTCATATATAGCTGGCATTCATGAAAGTGCTTTTGCTGCCTGCTCCTTGTTGCAGTCTTATTTTTGGGGTTACGTGGGAGAGGTAACTGAGCTAGCTCTGAGCAGTCATTAAGTGCCAACAGATTTCTTTTGTTTGAATTTGGAAGCGCCAGGAACCAACCAAGCCATGTTTCTTCCTTTCTGCTTGGGCGCACTCTGATGTGCCTAGTTGATAAGCAGGGTTGTTTGCCATGGGTAATTAACTGTCTGTGTCATACTCCTCTGTGAAAGCCACCAAAGTTGGCATAGTGTAAAAATGGTCAGAACCAATGTTTAATAGTATTCCGTGAAGTTATTTGCTTGCAGTTTTCTGAGTCTCTTGAATCGGGGTTGTTGCAGGCGCTGGAATCATCTGTTATTCCTCTGACAAAGTAAAAGAGGAAAATTTAAAGTTGTAAATTTAACCTGAGGTAAAAATGAAATCAAGAAAATATCAGTTGTTTGTTGTGAAATAATGATAAACAATAATGAACTAGTTAAAAGAGAAACTGTTTGAAGATTAAGAGTTTTTTATATAATCGGTTAGCTTTACAGTGCTTCCAAGTCATTGTGAATGTTTGTTTAGCTTTGGGCTTTTTCCTCTTCATGTGCACATGCCAGAATTGCAGATGTCTCTGAATCTACTCTGCTTGATAGTATAAAATTCAAACAAAGAGGAAGAGAAAATACATTCTTACAGCTCTTGAGTTTGGGCTGTGCTCATGTGCTCTTGTGCTGATTATTTTGTGTTATGTCTAGCAAGGGGCAGTCTTTGGATGGGATTTTGATTGATGGGTGCTGATTTTTTGTGTGTGTGTGACTTCCTGCTGAGAATTAAACATTTCCTATGACTTTGTGAGTCAATCTTTACATTATGTTTGCTGCATTACACTGTGAACTAAATGTGTCTGTGCTTTTGCAGTGCTGCCCAGCTGCTGAGCTATCCAGGAAATAACAAGATACCCTTGAACTATCACATAGTAGAGGTATGCATTTTATAAGTCATCTCTTTTGTGGCTCTTTTTTTGCTAATAAGAAGTCCCAATTAGCTTGATGATAAGTTCAGTTAATGTAGTTTCATTTGGGAGTCAACCAGAGCCTCGTTGAATGCAAGCAGTGCCTTTGTTTGGCAAGTTAAGTTATATGCAATACAATTGTTAATTTTATTTTGTTTGTTGGTACTTTTAACTTGGTGGGGGGAAGGGAAGTGTTGTTGAGTTTTGTTTATTTTTCAGATTGACTTGTTGTCCTGGTCCTGAAAAGAGCTTGAAATGAAATAGTGGTTTGCTTCCTGCAGGGCACCTTTCATTGTAGACAGCGTATCAGAAAAACAGTACAGATTTTTCTCTTGCTGCCTACTTTCAGAAGTTTGTTTCCAGGATGCAGGGTTGTTTAAAACCTTGTTCATGTCATCTAAAGGCTCTACGAAGAACTGACTATAAGTAGGAATTTTGTAGTTAATTATAATGATGAATATATCTTACATAGAAGATTGATTTTCATAAGGATGGGATTGAGAATTCCTGCTGGCACCAAAATGACAAATATTCTAAGTGCTGTTGTGTTACTTGTGTTGTCCCTTTTGTAGTTTTGATTTCATAAGAGAGAAATCTTCATGCTGGCAGCAATTTTCTGCCTTAACATCAAGGTATCTTCAGTGGCCCTCTGTACCTTCAGGAACTGTGTGTGGCTGGGTGCTTTATGCTCACTTATATTTTACTGTCAGCAGCTGCAGTTCCCAAATACATAAGTTAAACATCTTGGAAAGTCGTTGATTTGAAAACTTGCAGAATGAGAATAAAAAAGGTCTGCATGGATGAAATGTCTGCACAGGAATGCAAGATTGGCGTATGAACTGTATGAATACAACTGTCAGAATTCTCTCTTTTCTGCGATTTCCAGTTCTTCTAGAATTTTAATTTTATTGCCTCTGACTGCAAATTTTCAATGAAATTCCAGAGGTTTTAAGGCTTAGCATGCGTTTTACAGACTTCTATATAGTCTGCTTGTTATTGTTCCTTTACAGGTTCTCTCTCAACATTCGGGTTAGTATTACGTTGCTTTCAACAACAGTTCAGCAGAATTTTCTCTTGACTTCTGTAATACAGCACAGAACAGTAGAAATAATGTGTCTAATGAATACATGAAATTGTTATCTGAGATTCAGAAATCAGCACAGACAGAAGCCAATGTATGCTGCTCAGTACCTTCCCAAAATGGGCTTATTTTGGAGGGCCATGATGCTCCATGTTGCAGTCTGTCATGTCAAGCATGGAATGCTCCGTGCACAAAACTCTGAAACGTGTCACCTTTATCTCAGCAGTTTCTTATTCATGCTTATGTGGGTAATACTGGTGGCTGTGAGCAGAGCCACAGCATCACTAGGCTGTTGAACTAGTAGGACCTGTTGCACTTGTAAAGCTTTTGGTATACAACTTGGGCTTGACAAAGCTTATACGTTCAGATTGTCAGTCTTGACCTTTCTTGTCGCTCACTTGTTTCCACAAAATATGGTATGACATGAAATGCTTTGCATGAATAATTGGTCATGAGCATGTAATGAATATCAGAACTACCATCTTAATCAGTATCTCAAGTAGATAATGACTGATCATCAATTGTTGCTATTTCCTGTCTTGACAGCAGAAGCAATTCTGTACCTAACGTGTTCCCCAGTGCTTTTGTACCATATGTGTCTTAACAGTGTAATTGAATCACAGAATGGCTTGGGTTGGAAGGGACCTTAAAACGAACCAAGTTTCAACCTCCCTGCTGTGGAGGGATTGCACCCACCTCCTCAGGCTGCCCATGGACCCTTTCTTGCTGGCCTTGAGCACCTCCAGAGATGGGGCAACCACAGCTCCTCTGGGCAGCTGTGCCAGGGCCTCACCGCCTTCTGAGAAACAATTGCCTCATAATTGTATTTGAACTAAATTTCCTGCTTTAGTTTGAAACTGTTCTTCTTGTTCTATCGCTATCAGACCATGCAAAAGTTCTGTTTCCCTCCTGTTAATAAGCTTGCTTTAAGTACTGGAAGGCTGCATAGAGGCCTCCTTGAAGCCTTCTCTTTCCCAGGCTGACCAAGCCCACCTCCTTAGCCTTTCTTTACAAGAGAGTTGCTCTACCCATCTGATCTTCTTGAGCATAGAGGGACAATGCCTTCCCTCATCCTGCTGGCCACCCACCCTGTTTTGATGCAGCCCAGGATACAGTTGGCCTTCTGGTCTGCAAGGACATGCTGCTGCCTATGTCCAGCTTTTTGTCCACCCAAACCCTCACGTCCTTCTCTGCAAGGCTGCTCTTGATAAGTTCCTCTCCCAGTCTGTATGCATATCTGGAATTGCCCTGGTCTGGGTGCAACACCTTGCTTTTGGCCTTGTTGAATCTCATTAGGTTCACATGCACACACTTCTCAGCACTGTAAGGTCTCTCTGGATGGCATCCCTTCCTTCTGCTGCATCACCTGCACAACACAGCATAGTTCCATCTGTAAATTTGCTGAGAGTGCACCCAATCCCACTTCCTAGGTCACTGATCAAGATGTTGGAAAACACTAGAAGTAGGATGGACCCCTGGGGGACACCAGTCACCAGCCTCTACCTGGATGTAGACCTGCTGAACACAACCCTCTGGCTGCAAGCATCCAGTCAATTCTTTAACCACCCTTAAAATCTGTATCTCTGATTTAGAGATAAGGATGTGGTGTGCTGTGTGTTGAGGAGGTTCAGGTTGCTTATTAAGAAAAATCTTTCCTCAGAAAGGATGGTGAAGCATTGGAACAAACTACCCAGAAGGTGTTGGGTCACCATCCTTGGAGGTTTTTGAGAAACATGTAGATGCAGCATTGAGGGCTGTCATTTAGTAGGCATTGTGGTGATTGATTGACGGTTGGAATTGAGATTTCAGAAGTCTTCTCCAATCTTAATTATTCTATGGACATGCCAAAGGCCTTGCAGAAGTTTAGGTAGATGACATCAGACATCACTTGCCTTTTGTTTGTCCACTGATGCTATCACTCCATCATAGAAGGTTGCCAGATTGGTCAGGCACAGTCAGCCTTGGTGAAGCTGTGTTTGCTGTCTCAGATCATCTCCTTCTTCTTTCAAGCATCTTAATATAGTCTCCAGGAGGATCTGTTCTTTGATCTTACCAGGCATGAAGGTGCGGCTTAATGGCCTGTAGTTTCCCAGGTCTTCTCTTCTGCCTTTCTTAAAAATAAGAGTGATGTTTCCTTCAATACCAGGGACTTCACCTGACAGCCATGACTTTTCAAATCTGAGGAAGAGTGGCGTGGCAGCACATCAGCCAGTTCCTTTAGGACTCTAGATGGATGTTGTTTAGCCCCGTAGACTTGTACAGGTTTCAGTCTCATGCAATGGTTTCAGACTTGCTCTCTGCTTTCATTGGGAGTGATTTTATTCCCTCAACCCCATCTAGAGGTTCAGGAACTTAGCAGATGTGGGAATCGTGACTGCCATCTGAAGTCTGAGACAAAAAACTTGAGTGCTGCAGCCTTCTCTGTGTCTGTTGTTGCCAGTTCTCCTATCTCATTTATCAGTAAGTACATGCTTCTTGGCCAGCCTCTTCCGACCAACATGCCTGTAGAATCCTTTAATGTTATTTTTCACCTCACTCAACAAGGGATCTGTGCCTTCTGTGCCTTCTGTGCCCTGGCACTGCTGATCCTATCTCTGCATGTCTAGATGGCATCCTTGTATTCTTCATAGACCATACATCCCTGCTTCCACTGCCTTTGTATTTCCTCCTTATTCCTCACTTTGACCCGCAGGTTCTTGTTGAGCCATGCCAATTTCCTGCCTTCTCTATTTGATTTCTTATGCTGAGGATGGAGAGTTCTTGTGCTCTCAGAAGGGTGTCTTTAAAGAGTTGCCACCTCTGTTGTATTCCTTTGTCCATAACAACAGCTTTCTGGGGATCCCACCCAATAATTCTCTCAAGCAGATGAAATGTCACTCTCCTGAATGTCAGGGTCCATCTTCCTTAAAATTACAAACTAGGACATGGTTGCTACAGCCCACACTGTGTCCAGACTTAACCTGCTTAATGATTTCAGCTGCATCAGTGAGCACCAGGTCCGGTAATGCTTCACCCCCTGTTGGTCCGTCTAGTATCTGGACAAGCAAGTTGTCCTCAGTGCACTGCAGGAGTCTCCTGGCTTGCTTACAGCCCACCATGTTGCTTTCCCAGCAGACATCCAGGTGGTTGAAATGCCCTATCAGAATGAAATCCTGTGATCAGGATGCTTCTTGCAGACAAAGCAAGAAGACCTCATCATTGGCTCCTTGATCAGGGTGCCTGACCACCAGATGTCCCTTATTGGTATGGTCCCCAGAAGCACTCAGCCTCGTCGTGGCTGTTTTTCAGAGTCAGCTCTTCACAGTCTGTCCATTTCTTGACATACAGTGCAGCTCCTTCCCCTCTCCTTCCTTGTCTGTCTTCTAAAAACTTTGCAGCCCTCAGCTGAAGTGTTTCTAGTTATGTGACTTGTCTCACTACATTTCTGTGCTAGCAGTTAAGTCAGCTTTCTAATTGCACCATGGCATCATCTCCTCCTGTTTATTTCCCATGCTGCATGCATTGGTGTAGAGGCACTTCAAGCAGGCTATTGGCCACGTTACCTTGTTAGAGTACTGAGACAAATCTGAGGTTTTCCTTTGCTGCTTCCTAAAATGACAGTGTTTCTCTGTTAGTTAGAAGTACAAACCTTTCCCCCATAAATTCTTATTTAAAGTTCTGTTAGCCCAGCCTATTTAAACTGTTGCCCCATCCTAGCAGTTGCATCCCATCCAATGTCAGCCTGCCCAATCTCTTGAAGGTGTGTCCAGAACCATAGAACCAGTAACCCTGAGCATGATACCATTCATGCAGCCAGTCACTGAAGGGGTCCTTTCGCTGCATCCTGCACAAGTCCCAGTCTCCAGGCAGGAAGAACAAGGGGAACAGTACCTGTGTTCCTGATATCCTGTGTATTCCTGATATTCCTATATCCCAAGGGAGGATCTCGTAATTTTTTGTCATTTCCTTGTGGCTTCCTCATGTAACCTGTCTTGAAAGAGCAGCAGTGGATAGCAGTCCTCCATCTTTATCAGACCCAGAAGCTTTTTCCATGGAAAAGTTCTTCAGCTCCTTATAGTCTTGTTGTGATTCCAAGTCCATCCTCAGACTGTAGCATTTTCTTGTCAGTGTGTTTTCACGTGCTGTTTGTGAAACCTATAAATGGACAATGATTTCTTGAACTAGTAAGAGCGTTATCTACTGCTTACTCTTTGAAGCTTTAATTCCTCTGTGTTTGTTCTGAAGTTTAAAGTTGTCAGTGAGGAAAATTACCAACTGAAATGAATCAAAGGTTCATGATTTTGAACTTGATTGAAATCCAGTTGAGAATGGCATGCACACTAACCAGAAACTCAAACATGAGTGTTGCACAGTGGTGAATTCTTCATAGCCCTTAAGGATTGACACACTCCTATGAGCACACTTGAAAATAAAATATGAATGCTGTCTGCAGGATTGTTTTTAGTTTTCTTAAAGGGATCCTCAGCCAAGGGGGTACAGGGCATATATTTCTATCAGGTGGAGTGGTGGTTATTATTTTCTGTTGCAGCTTGTGGCTATATTCATTTATTATTTTGTGTAAGAGAAAAGAGAATAGTGTGGAAAAGTACAGTCTAATTTTGATGTAAATCATCTTTCACATTATATGCTTAAGCTTCACTTAGTGTATCTAATGTTTACTATTTGATAGAATCAGATCACTTCAGCTTTGTTTTGCCAACATCATTTGGTAACACTGCATTAGGGCAAAATACAGCTGAGTACACTTTCTGAGATGTATCATGTTTAATGCTGGGGCTGTGTTGTGTTAGTAGAGAACGGTGAAGGTGGTTTTAGAATGTTTTAATATGGTGTAGAGTTACCACTGTCTTTGTAAACTTTACCTTTTTCTCCTAGAACTTGAGCGTGACAGAATAATATTAGCCTATTCGGGTATGTGCTTGTTTAAGGCTGATGTTGCAGTTCTGAAGCTGACTGTGCTCTGATTCTATGCCTTCCTTTCCTACAGGTAATTTTTGCAGAGTTGTTTCAGCTTCCTTCTCCGCCACACATCGAGGTCATGTACACAACTCTGCTGATTGAGCTGTGCAAACTTCAGCCTGGTTCTTTACCACAAGTTGTATCCTTTCTTTGCTTCTGGAGAGCATTTTTAAAATGGAGCCTTTATATCACTTCTTCTGTAGGTGAAGAAATAGCAATAAATATTGTCAGTAATCTATTTTACAGCTGCCACATGAAGCTTTGCTTGTAACACTTGCATGAAAGAAAAGCAGAGCCCATGTAGCATGGGTGTAGTCTGGCTGACTGAGCAAGACTCCTCAGATTTATGAACACTGCCCTGGTACTTCCTTTCGCCTTCCAAAGAATTGCTGTTAAAGTATCCTGTTAGGACTGGGTAATGTGTGGCTCCATTGCATATTGAAGGCTGAGAAGGAAAGGAAGGGACAGACTTAATCTATGCTTTTAGGAACTGTGTGAGCATTGCAGATGATTTTAAATGAACCTGCTCAAGTTCCCATTCAAAGGCTCTCAGTGGAAGCATTCAGAATGTCGGTAATAGACTGTCAGCTCAAATAAGAGTAGTTACATGCTGAGAAAGGCGACGTGACCCTAGCTCATTCTGTCTGCTAAATTGCTCCTATTCTATTGCAGTCTCGGATCGGGCTAGTTCATCATTTCACAACAAGCTACAGATTCTTGAGAAAACAGATGCTTATCCAGCGGTAACTTCATTCAATTTTTTATTATATATCATGGTATCACTACACAATCATAAAATTGTAGGGGTTGGAAGGGACCTCTGGAGATCATCTAGTCCAACCTCACTCTAAAGCATGTTTCCTACAGTAGTTTGCAAAGGAAAGCATCCAGGCAGGTTTTGAATGTCTCCAAAGGAGAATCTCCAGTCTCCTGGTCAGCCTGTTCCACAGTAAAGTTGGTTTTCCTCATATAGAACTACACTTGTGTTCCAGTTTGGGCCATTGCCCATTGTCATGTGAGTGGGCACTGCTGAAAAAAGCCTGGCCCCATCTACTCAACACCCATCCTTCAGATAGTTACAAGCACTGATAAGATCCCTTCAGACTTCACTCGTCCAAGCTGAACAGTCCCATGTCTCAGCCTTTCCTCACACAGGCAATGCTCTGTGACACCAGTCATCCTCCACAGCACTCTCTCTAGAAGATTTCTTTCTTCTTTTAACTGGAGAGCCCAGAACTGCATGCAGTATTCCAGATGCGACCTCACCAGGGCAGGAAAGGATCACCTCCCTCAAGAGTGATAACCACAGTCCTTGTAATGCACCCCTGGGTACCATTGGCCTTCTTGGCCACAAGGGCATATTGTTTGAAAATCATGTAAATGCCAGTGATAAGAGCTTGAATTGTTGCTGGAATTGTGGGGATCTCTGTGTAGAAGGCTTTTAATGTTAATAGGGATGCTGTAAAAACAACAAAACCTTTGTTGGGCAAAGCCAGCGTAGACAGTTTCCTGAGTTTTCAGTGATGATCAAAGGTTGTTTGTATGCGAGTATCAGGAGCAGCTTGTTAAGGTACAAGGAAGGGTTACAGAAGTACTTGGTTGTTATCTGTGCCTGCGCAGTTCCCTTGCATGAAGAGAATTCTAAGTTTCTCTAGGAGCCAGCAGTGTCTCACATCAGTGGAAGAAAAACAGTGTTAGAATGGAAAAAAGACTTTTGGCTTCTTGTCTTCCTTTTCTTCCTCAATGGATTTAGTGTGATTTACCTGCTTCTGGAATAGTCTGAGGGAGCTATCGTTTCTTTTCCATTCTATTCCAAAACTGAATGGAATTGCATTTGATTTATCTAGTGCTTTTCTGTTAACCTTAACAAAAAACTTCAGCTTGCACAAGCCACAGAAATGCTCTACATGCGTTTGGATACAATGAATACAACCTGTGTAGACAGGTAAATGTGTTTTTGAGGGATGGAAAATATTCTTCATTTTTCCTATGCATTGGGCACTAAGGAATCTGTGGAAAGAATAATCCAGAATTATTTTTATAAATTCATAGTGCTCTTCGAAACAATTTTGGAGGGCTCTTGATTTGATTAATCTAAATAGAAGTTTGGGGGCTTGTGCCTTTTCTTCCTAAAACACTCCACTGGAGTGCTGATGAGAACTTACACGCATCCCAGCCTGGTGTAAGTTGCACAGTATTCTTCTGTCTTGTACTGTGCGTGCTTCTTAGTGGTCTGGGAAGTGAAGCTGTGGTACATGCACCGTCCAGAGGTGGAGGAGAGTGGTGGCTTGATTGCAGGAGAGCTATTAATTACTCATCAAAAATGTAAAGCTGTGTATTCACAGTAAGTTTGTTTTAATTGTTAACTTAGCATGTCATCTGTATGGAACAACAGAACATGACAGGCTCTCTATTTGTCCAAAATATCTAGTTTCTGATTTTCTGAACCTCGTCTTTTGACCTAAATGTAATGCTGTACTGCCATTGACATATAGAATATACTTACAAGAAAATCTCAAAGGAAAGTTTTTCTGCCGTTTCAATATTTAATAGAGCTTCTTTTTTCTTCGTATGATGAAGATTCATTAACTGGTTTTCTCACCACTTGAGTAACTTCCAGTTCCGTTGGAGCTGGGAAGATTGGTAAGTTTCTCACATTTTAATATGCAACTCGTATTGCAGAAACCATAAACTTCCAGACTTAGCCAGAAAGTGTCGCAGTATACTGGCTGTACTAACTGCTTTCCTCTAACTTTTCAGAGATTTTTTTTTTTAATCTGCTCATCACCATTTAGAGGTAGATAGTCCTGATAATCCTTTTAGTCTCTGTGTTGTCCCTGACTAATTTTGTGATAAATATCAAGCTAGTGTGAGTGTTCCCTAAAGAGAAGTAGAAACACAATTTCTTTGTTTTGTCTCGTATTCTTGGTCAGTTATTGAACGGCTCCCTAACTTTAATGATTTGCCCTTGTGCTCTATGTGTCTGTATCCTGTGACATCACTCATTCTGTGATGTCACGCTCTGTGCTACCCTAAACCTTCGATTTTCATCTTCATCTGTGAGATCGTTGAACCAATTTTCCTCCTGCAAAATCTTAGTACCTGACTTTCCAGCAGAGCTGGCCCCGCTGTCCATTCTTATGCTAAATCTCCAACTCGCATTCCTGGCAGGAGCTCAGTGGTCTCCAACAATGCCTAACCACAGGCTTCCGTGGGATTTGTATTCCAGGCACTGTGCTGGCTGCCTGCTGCCTTTCTCATATACTGTATACTGTTGCTCCCTCTCCCACTAAAGCTGGAGTTACATCTTTAATACAGTCCCAACTTCTGTAGGCTGCTACCATATATGCTCTCCATGGCTGATCTGCCCAGCTGTCATGGAGGAATGTTCAGTAAGGTATTGTGGCATTACTGAAGTTTGGTGTATTATCCTCACAGAGCTGTATGTTTCTGTTTAGTCTAAGTAGAATGTTGCCTGACCCACTGGAGGTCTTTGTAGAACCAGTTTTTTCCTTGCATGGATGCTCCTTGATGGGAATGATTGTGTGCTTTTTCTCACAAGCTGCTGTTTTTCACAAATCTTGTAACTATTTGAGATACTTCATAGCACTCTTGAAATGCATTTGAAATCAGCCAGAAACTCAAATTCCTGTGAGGAAGAAATAGACTATAAAATCACACAATGCTTTTTTTGTAGGGAGAAGGAAGGCAGAACAACCATAAGCACAAGTTAATGTAATCTGTTGTGGAAAGGAGAGCTACTTAAATACATCACATAAAGATGACTTTTCAAGATTACTGTTAGCAAGGATATAGTGATGAGCTGTCTCACTGTCTTAAGAATGTGTGTGCTGTAAAAGAGCGTCAGGCAGTGCAGCTGTGCTTAGACCATGATTGTTTTGTATGTATCACACCAAGCCAGAAAGAGACTAAATGACAAATTCTTTCCAACACCATCACCTCTGTTCTCTGATAGGTCAGATTGTCTTACTCAGGACCTTGAAAAGCCCAAACCCAAGTTTGTGAGAGAGGTGTTGGAAAAATGCATGCGGTAAGTGAAATCTGTAGATGGCTGTGCTCTCGGAAGAATGATCTTTGTTTCTGGTTGCTTCCACACTCCTTGCAATTTCTGTCTTACATGTCCTTGTAATTCCATTCTGAGTAAGAGACAAGTCCGTAGTTGGTATGATTTCATTCTGATTTACTTGTTGTAGAGCACTACTTCTAGCAGACGAGGAGAAACAGGTGAAGCACACAGTGATGAACTATCTGCTCTAATTATGCTTACATCTGTTTACATAGGGACATTCTTCGCCACGGGCATGGTGAGAAGTAGGGATCAGCCAGTAGTCCTGAGAAATATTTAGATTTCAAAGAAACGAGCAGAGCGTATCATTAGTTACTCTGAGAACTAAGAGTGGAATTTTAGTTCTTGTGAGTCTCTTTGATGTCAGTAGTCCTTTTTTTTTATAAAAAACATATACTGAAGTAATCCAAAAGTACTGTCTCCTGCTTTTATTATGTTGCCTACGATGTCAGAGGCAGACGGTGGTGGTATGGCAGTGGGGGTTGAACGTTCCTGTCAGCACTGCATTCCATGTTGTGGCCATGCAACAGATGGCAGTAGAGGGGCAGCCTGGCAAAATGGCGTCTGATAAGGAAGTGCGCATGGAGCAAAGCGTGGCATTGAATTCCTTTGTGGGAAAAAGTGGCACCCACTGTTGCTGAGGCTTGCTGAACGTCCGTGGACACGACAGTGGATATAAGCACAGAGGGGGCGGGTGGTGCATTTCAGCAGTGGTGGCAGCAGTAGAGATCACCTCCACTGGTTTGGTTTTAACAAGCGTGGCATTGCGGGCTCTTGTCCATCGCCAGTGAAAATGCAGAGCTCATGAGGTGACTATGCTGAAAAATTGTTTTTTGTAGGTGAGAATTTGCTCTGTCAAATAGCATTATTGTGCTTTTTGTATCTATTTCTATAAGAAACTACTAGGAGGCATTACTTTTCAGAGCAACCTACCTATTATTTAAAAACACAAAAAACCCTTGAACAAAAATCCCACAGAAGCCAACAAGAATACACTATGGGAATTCTTGAAATAGAGGGATAGGAAGTTCAGTAAAATGTTCAAAATCCCTGTGTCGTTCAGAATCTTAGATCATTCTGTTTTGGAGTGAATTCAGTACAGACAAGTGTGATAGTAACATGCTGCAAAACTAATTCAAGTTTTCTGTTGTGTTTTTCCATTTCACCAAATTAATCCTTTATAGGAGTGATGGAAGCTGGGGAGTAAAATTGAAAGATATGCAGACATGAAGGCATTTAGTATTTTTTTTTCTCCTTTGACTGGGGCTTAGTAGTTGACTGGACTCTTGCTATTTTTGTGGATGGCTTCATAAGCTTTTGCATGAGACATCTACCAGGCAGTCTCTTAATCTTTTCAAAAGCTGAATGGTGTGAGGATGAAGTCCCACTATCAAGATATTCAAGTAGCAAGCATCCATTAACAAGTTACTTAGATCTTACTCGTGAGCACTTTATTCAGTGCAACTGTATTTTCTTAACATGTGAAACTTAAATAGCAGGAAGCCATTGTAAAGGAATGACTTCAGAATTAATCCATTTCAATTCTACTGCTCTTAAACCTATTTGCAGGCTCTCCTATCATCAGCGGATAATCGATATTGTTCCTGCAAGCTTTTCTGTCCTCAGTCCTGCAAATCCAGTGTGTATCTACAAGTATGGAGATGAAAGCAATAGTAAGTATTAAAGTTCATGAAGAGTCAAGTCAAAGTGCTTCAGAGCAAGGGAGCATGCCAGTATTTTGAATATGGTAGAACAGTAAAACATTCCACTGGTAATGGAGCACACAGAGACAGCAGAAGACATGAAGATTGAGGGGGGGGAAAAGTAACTTCATACAACCAGTAATAAAAGGAGTAATGGACAGTCCTATATGTGAAGGTTTCTTCATCCAAGATAAAATACGGGAAAAAAAGAAAGTATTGTATTTTAGGAAGTTGAGGGACGTTATGTGGAGCTTTAAGATAGAAGGGTGATTTCTCGGCCTCAGCTCTGAAGATTCTACCAAAAGTTTTGAATTTGACATGAGGACAAGGAAACCTACTGAGCAGTTGTAGTAGAATAATGGACCGTGATGTTGGAACAACTAGTTATGTGCACTGGGAAGTGTACTTGCTTCTGTGATAGGCAAGCTTACATCAAAAGACATTCAGTTCCTTAATTTTTATTTTTTTTTTCGCTTTGCTGTTGTTTAGGGTCTCTTCCTGGATATACTGTGGCACTCTGTTTAACAATTGCAATTAAAAACAAGGCCAGTAATGATGAAATCTTCAGCATTTTAAAAGATGTGCCTAATCCAAATCAGGATGATGACGATGGTAAGGTATCTTCTGCTAGGTTTTGCAAGGCACTATTTACTGTATACACTTTAGAGCTATGTGTGTGCTGGTTAGCCAAATGTTGTGCTCTTCCTTCAAATAGTTGATTTGAAAATATTAGCAAGCGAAAAGATGCACAACTGTTGGGCTTTGTTGTAAACGCGTTATCTGCAGGAGCAGGCTCGTTTCTTAACAGAGGTAACACAATGCTTGAGATGGGTTTTCTTGAGATTATTGACAGAGGCAGTGTGTTGGAATTTAGCATCTCCCTTGCTTTTACCAGCAGAGTTCATTTCACACTGCTTGTTTCACCCTGGTAAAACCAGCACTTTTCCCCTAAGAGCTCCCCTTCTCTCAGACCAGTCCAGAGCAGATAAAATAGCCTGAATGCTGGCTGATCTCCCATAGAAGATTCTCCTAAGATAGAAACACACAATGGGACTCTGCGTGGCTTCTTTTTTGATCTGTAGACACAGACAATATTGATTCCTGAAGCCTGCACGCTCTGGGGGGTGAGGAGTGCAGGAGTGGGCATTTCACATTTAAGTAAATGGAAGAAGTGATCCGCGCAGTGAGTTCCAGTATTTCCACAGTGTAAAACAGTGCTCCTATGGAAGCAGAGGACAATTGTAACCTGTTTTTGGCATGCCACGTGTTTCCCAGTTTGCTTTAAGCTTCATGCAGCAATGGCTGTTCCCCGACCTGCTTGTCTTCAGGTGCACAGGAGGAGATCTTGCACCATTCACCTCTACTACCCGTATTTGTTATGCACACTCATTGGACTTTTCTCCCATATCAGAAAAGGCCATCCTCTGCATCCTAATCATTTTTAGCTTTCCCTCCCCACACCTACTCTCCTTTCTTCATGGCCTACCACGCCTTCATCTTGTTGCATACTTCTGCAGCTTCCTTGGCTGTCCTCTGCTGCTGTCTGAGTGCTGTTATGTTGTTCTATAGCAGTTGTGTCTCTGGTAGCTTCTTCACTGACCAAATGCAAGAGATCTTTCTGCGTGTTTTCCTCAAGGCAAACTGGGAGTGTGATTATTTGCAACACGGATAGTGTTTAGTAAAATAAATACTAAATTGTTTGCTAGCACCTTTCTCTGCCTTGCATGGCCTTATTGCCAACACTTTGCCTGAAGTGAGTTAAAACCATCAGTTATCTCTACAGTTGATACTGTAAGCATTACATATAAAACTTTAAATAATTTGCAGATGAAGGATTTACTTTCAATCCTTTGAAAATAGAAGTCTTCGTTCAGACTCTGCTCCACCTTGCTGCAAAGTCTTTCAGCCACTCCTTCAGCGCCCTGGCAAAGTAAGTGTGACGTGCACTGTTTGAGGGTTGGCAGAGCTGTTTAGTTCTGTAAATGAAACGATGGGAAAAAAAATGATCTGCAAGCTTCAGCAGTGCTTTAGGTACTTCTCAATGTAGTAGGACTCTGAGAGCCAGTGACACTCATAGTATATATACTGAAGGAACAGAAGTGTTGTAAATGTTAAGTGAAACATATGAATGGATGTAACAGACAGTTACACACTGAGTTTAATACTTTGTGCTTCAGAGATATTACGCATCTATGACCTAGGAAGGCAGTAGTCAGATGCACTTTAATGAATTACTTTTCTGTTCCTCAGTAGAAGTATGTGGTTGATACAAAAACCTGCACCTGGAAGCCTTTTAGGGGCATGTTTACTATAAACTGTAGGTTGTAACCTGCAGCTAGTAGTGTAAGGGGCAGGCAGAGGTGAGTACACGTCCATGGTGTTTTCACTGCTGCACACCAGCACTGGCAGCCATTAGGTCATTCTTTGTAGTTCCAAAATGGTGAGTGGTGAATGCTGTGTGTTGTGAATGCTATGTATGAGTAAGTTTGTTAAAACAGAGGCGTTAGCAGCATTTCCTTCAGAAGGGGCAGATTGGGTGTGTGAAGTTATGGAAACATGTCAAGAAGGTCTAAGGCTCTAAAAGCAGCACATTTTGCCCCAGCTGAGCACAGGAAGCATTTCTGTGTGCCTTGTACTTCTGGGTATATGAGAAATACAGTCCACCTTGCAGGAGGAGATTCACCACTGGGATTTAAGCTGCTTTTATGAGTATATCTTTTTTAGCTCAATTGGTTGTATTTTCCTGTTAGTAGTTGTTCAGGAATTGCGGTATAAAGTCCCAAAACTTCCTCTTTTGGGCAATCTAAACCACTTACCTCATATCAGATACTCTTTTGACCTGAGCCCTGCTCCTTCACTGACTAATCTACGTCTGTTAAAAGGTTTCACGAAGTCTTCAAAACGCTTGCTGAAAGTGATGAGGGAAAACTTCATGTTTTGAGAGTTGTGTACGAGGTCTGGAAGAACCATCCACAGGTGAGGCACTGCAGTGTCAAGTACCACTTGAGTTTAAACTCTCTGAGGTCACATTAAATAAAGCATTTTAGTTTGCTTTATATCCTTCAAAACCTTCTTGACTTTCGTCAGATATAAAGGAAAGTTCAAATTCTATTTGCTGTTATGAAAGGCATTTAAAGGAAGGCTGGAGATAAAATATATACTACATGGCTGTTTATTTCTCAGTTACTTGTGGGAGAGCAAAGGCTGTGTCATTCTGGCTCGGGCTTATGCTATGCTGTTTCTCATGCAAGAGAACTTGTTGCTGTTCAGAATTGGAAAATGGTGTTGATGCATAGAATTGAAATAAGATGTACATCTCTTAACAAAAGCAAGCCATGTTCTTAGAAATGGGGGAATTTGGTTGGTCTGTAGGCTTTCTCCACTTGCTAGCAAAATGTATGCAGTTATTCCACAGAGATCAGGTTGAAGTCGCTGTTGCATATGAGTAGAGCTGCAGTCAGTAACTGTTCAGAATGGAGCAGTCAGACTGCAGAGGCATGATTGCATTCATTCTTCAATCAGAGGTAATAGCACCCTGGAAGGCCTATGGAAAACACCTCAGCTGTTTAAGCAGTTCCATTTCTTCACAGCAGTTGTTTTCTCCCTCAGCTGTCATTCTCCTAAACATAGAAATAAAAATGAGGAGCTCACACTGAATTTGCCCACGTTAATTATGTGTTGCTTACTGATGTGCTTGAGTTACAGGGTACTGTAATAGAAAGGGGAGCACACCTCACAGCTACACTGTGAGACATTAAGAAATGGTTCCACTGTGGGCAGGGGATAATCCTTGCCTCTGCTGCTAAACCTATGGACTGCTTTCCATGGTTCCTAGAGAAAATTTAGTGCCCAAAAGACAAGTGGCACCTGGTATAGATATCTTTCAAATACAGTTCTAGAAAATATATATATCTCAAAAAGTAGTGTTTTTTTTAAAGATATTAAATTTCTTGCCCAAAATACTGACCTTGAAAATGTGATGATTGCAGTCTTGACCTACTTTTACTTTAATTGGATCAGAAGAAATTACATTACTGCAGTCTAATGTCCATATCCTTTTCCTCTTCGTTCCTTTGTACTGCAGTATGGCCAAGCTGAGATGGAGGCTTCAAAGTCATACTGAACAGTTCAGTTAGATTTTTATGAATAAATCAAAAATGCATTTTATAAATAAGTGCTGATGTTTTGAAGGCCTCAATCGTGGAACCTGAATTTCCTCTCCTGTAGGTACTATAGTTGAGACTTCTGCTTCTGCTCAGGTGCTTTCTTGTCTGTGTGTCCGCAACATCTCTGGCACACAGGGCACTTTGTGGACCCAGTTTCTTTGCAGTTCACCCTCCTCTGTCGTGAATGGGAACGCCTTCTGTTCTGCCTTATGCTATCAGTATTTTGAGGGCTGTGCTGCAGATGGTGATTTTTGGTGGTCGTTAGACTAGTTTAGTGTGGTTGTAGTGGTGCCTTCATGACGAGAAGTTTTAACACCAAGATGAGACGTTTTCCCCAAAATCCTAAGCTTGTTCCTTGGAAGATCAGGGGAAGTAATCAGAGATTCTTCTTGGCATTACAGAAAGACACACGGAGCATAGGATGCTATCCTGGGATGCGAAAGTTGAGCCCTGAGTCTTCTGTATGATTCATTTGGTTATTTTAACTTCCCTTCCTTAAAAGGAGCTTTGTTACACTTCCTTATGTGCCGAAGGGTAGTTGTGAGGATAAATGCTTTGTAGGCTGTGGTTCTTAGATGTTGTGACATTCAAGCACATGAGTAACCAAGATAAGCCTTTTTTTTTTTTTCTGAACAGCTTGTAACTGCTTTAGTCTGCAGCTCTTCTCCACAGTTGCCTTTTGGACTGCTTGCAAAGCCCCTGGAATCGTGGCACTGCCTGCAGCAAGCACTTCACTACTGATTCTGTCCTAAAATGCAATAGAACCTGCAGGAAAGTGGTTACTGCCATAACTGAAAATTACTGCATTTCAAGGAGAGTGTAGGCCAGCAGCTGCTCTGTCTTTGATGTCATGTACATGGAGTTGTGTCTGTGCTGCTTCACTTTCAGCTTTGATGCTTATGATTATTGTTTTTAAGAGGAAGTTATGCTAATGAAGAATGATCCATTGCTTTCACGAGGAACGGAAGGAACTGAACTGTTTCTGGTTTTGTACAGGACTGGAGTACTGCTTATGTTGCCCAAGACCTTATTTTGGTAGAAATGACTGTTTTGTCTTTCACAAAATATAGATGATCGCTGTGCTTGTGGACAAGATGATTCGGACACAAATTGTTGACTGTGCTGCAGTAGCAAACTGGATCTTCTCCTCAGAGCTTGCACATGATTTTACTAGGTAACACGTGGATTTGTCTGTAAATTAGTATTTTAAGTGAGCGGTTTACAGCTTAATCTCTGAAAAGTAATGCAAGGAAAGGGTATGCTTGACCTTTAGTCTTTTCTACTGAATGCATACTTTATCATTTTTCTGTCTGAGTTGGGATTGTGTTTATATGACAAGAATCCTTCTAGAATGTCGTTTTGCAGTTAGTCTCTGAACACGTCAAAGTGGAAGGATGCTGGAAAACATTCCTAGAAAAAGGCCTTACCCTGAGTTGTGTGTTTAGGTTTTACATCTGGGAGATCTTGCATTCCACAATTCGTAAGATGAATAAGCATGTTCTGAAGATTCACAAAGAACTGGAGGACACAAAGGCAAGATTGGCCAGACAACACAAAAGAGTGAGTAGTTTGTTTGGCATTCTTGATTATTTTTTAAGTGAAGTTAGGCAAACCCGCATGCAGTCAAAATGATGCACAGCTGCTTTTGGGGCAGGGCAGAGTAAATATGCCTACCAGGATGCATGTACCTGTACAAAAGTGGTCATTCATAGTAGGAAGACAGCAAAACTGGATATGTATTCTCAATCCGTGTTTCTGAAGGTAGCCATAACCTAAGAATTTAATAAAATCTGTAAGGGAATTAATGTGTCTGTGCTCTGTCCAAGCTTCCTTGCAGAAGTTTCTTTTCCAGTATTAGCATATCTTCCATTTGCATTCTCATCTGGATTCCATCACCTAATTGGGAGTAAGAACAGGTAAAAACTACGTATTTACAGTAAGTTCTGTTAAAGAGAACTCTTGTGGCTTCCATGCAGAAGTGCACGGAAACAGCTGTTGGCTATCGAAAAGTTGGCTGTTACTGTTCTTCTGATGGAGGCTGCTGGATTCTGACACTGGCACCTGTCGTCTCCTCTTCCAGGTTACTTTTCTGAGCACTTCTGTGTGACCTAAATTACTGTATGGAACAAACTGATGACCAGACCTCTGTTGTATTCTGTTCTCTGAGGTGGGATAGCAAAACGGGGTGAGAGTTTGCCTGTCTGCCAGCTGCTGGCACAGTGCTGTTGGCTGAGTGTAACGCTTGCTAGTGACAGAAGAAGTCAGTTTGAGAGCTGCAGAGAGTGAGTTTGCTAGTCAAGACTTGGTCTTTGAATGCAATTGCTTGCACAAAGTCTTCAACTTGTTCCAAAAACGGATTGTTTTTTAAGAAACCCACGCAAGTCACTCATGCTTTCAGAAACCTCTGCGGAGAGTCCACTGCCACCTTGCAGTCTGCCTCTGTCCGTTTGTCCCTAGACCCTTTGTCTTGTTCCCTTCACTCCAAGCAACAGCTGTTACAGCTGTCTGCATCCTTGATCTACATTGATCAGCAGTTAATAAATGCCAGTAATTATTGAAGGCCTGGCCGCAGTCATTGATCTTACTGTGAGGCAAAGAGCTTCTCTGGCACGCCGAAACAAATACGTCAGTGTTTTTTGTGTCTGTTCTCATCTCTTGCTGCAGCCCTTTATTACTGAATACTTCAAATGAGTATTTTGCCAGGAAGAAGCATTTGTATGCAACAGTGAGTGGTCCTGCAGGCTGGTGCTCTGCTGCATCATCGTTCCTTTTAGAGGAAGTAAACCATCAGATTTTGATGTTCCCAGCATGAAGTGGATTGCCTTACTATGGAGGGAGTCCAAAGCTTCTCTTAGGTTGCACTCAGCATTTTAAGTTCAGGAAACCTTTGTAGATAGGGGGTAAAGGGAGGAAGCGAGGTCCTATAAAAAGAATACACTGGAATTCCCATTGCTCTGGTCTTTCCATTTTTTGATGCTGGCATGGAGCTGTTGCTATCTCCTGTTAACTAGTTTCATTTGCTATTTAATGCATAAGGCAAGACAAGTCCCTGCGTTTGTCACAAATTGTATATGCTCCTTTAAGACGTGTTTGAAGTTTTTAGCTGCTAATTTGGGGGCATTTTTACATGGAAACAATCAGGGAAGCAACATCTATATTTGAATGTAGTGTAATCTATCAGACTGTGTCCTGTATCCTATTTAATCTTGTCTTAAGGCCTTGCTATCTGAGATTGGAGGTTTGGCACCGTGTTCTTGTGGTTATTTTATCTGCTTATTTTGTGAGGGGAGTTACTGCTTTACTCTGGAGGAGTGAGGTGTTTTGGTTTGTAGGCAGTGAAAAAACTACATCTTTTGGCTTTCATCCTAGTAAATATTTAAGTTTCCTCCGGCTACTCTGATATCTTCTTCTCAGGCTGTTCCCATACTGGCTTTTTCTTTTCTCTTCCAAATGGATTTTCTGACTGTACTGAAAGTAGATGCCCTTCAAAATACAAAACTCGACGAGCTAAAAAGCAGTCCCAGTCTCCTTGCAGCTTTATGCCAGGTGGATCCAGAGGACGCTGACAGTGCCCACATGTTGTTAGTTAGGCTTGTGTTGTCCCTTGCAGCGAGACAGTGATGATGATGACCGGAGCAGTGACCGGGAGGACGGACCTCTGGAGGAGCAGATAGAGCGCTTGCAGGAGAAGGTTGAGTCAGCACAGAGCGAGCAGAAGAATCTCTTCCTTGTAATATTCCAGGTAATGCTGGGCGAGCTCTCCTCTCTTCAGGCTTTAAAGGTCACTGAATTTACAAGCTTTCACGTCGCTTGTATCTCGGGCATGAGGATATAGGAAAGAGCTGGGGGACTTACTGTGGTTTTAGAGTTGATCCTGAGTTGATCCTTAACCCCACAGCAGGCTGTGGCTGAGCAGACAGGACTTCTGTAGTTTTATGCACACAGCAGCAAAATTCTTTGGCTGTGTGGATTGCTGAATGAAAAAGTACCTTGGTTTTTTATTTTTCTTTTTGGCTGGCAAAATCCAGCGTCTGTAAAGTGAAACAGTTATTTTCATGTTGTTATTTAAAGGTTCTGTTCTCTAGATGCACTTATGTGAGGTTAGGAGCTGCCTTCGCTTGATGACATTGAGTGAATGCATTTTTTTTCTTTCCTCTTGAAGCGCTTCATTATGTTGTTAACTGAGCACTTAGTGCGCTGCGAGACCGGCGGAATTGATGTATTTACGCCGTGGTACAAGAGCTGCATAGAAAGGCTGCAGCAGATCTTCCTGCAGGTGAGTGCTCTCCCTCTGCTCGGCTCGGAGCTGTGGGCAGGAGCCGGTGTGCTGGTGGCTGCTGAGCACAGCAGTTGTAGTCTCTGTTAAACCAGGTAACTGGGTGACAGTGACAGCAATAGAAAATTGTACCTGCGTGAGCAGAAGGTGCGTGGAAAAGTGGGTGACTGCAAGGAGCGGTGCTGTAATCCTCCCGCGGGCTGCAGCTTGGTCTGGTCACAGATGTGGCTGCAGATTGAAGCGCTGCCGTGGATCCGTTACAGTACCTCTGAGCCGTCTCTGACTCCTCGCACCCAGCTCAGTGTCAAGGGCTGAAAAGCCCCCCGAAGTGCAGCGCTTGCTGGCACCATGTAGCAGCGTGTGCTTTTCCTTTGCCACCAACCCTGCGTCGTGCTTTTCTAGTCAGAGGTGTGCGTGCCGTGGAAATGGGATGTGCATGGCAACTTCGATGACAGCTTTTCACCAACATAGGTGTCTTTTGTCTGCCAGCATCACCAGATAATCCAGCAGTACATGGTGACCTTCGAGAACCTCCTGTTTACAGCTGAGCTGGATCATCACATACTGGCCGTCTTTCAGCAGTTCTGTGCTCTGCAGGCCTGAGGAGAATTCCTGGGTGAAGTCTTGTTTTCAGGACTGTAACAATTTTTTTTTTTTTTTAACTTGACATGGGGATGAAAAAACTTTTTGATTAAAACTGGCTTTCATATGCTCCTACATAAAACAATTCAGTTCTCTAACCAACAGCAGTCTGTAAGCATCCTAAGCCTTACTAGATAGAACTCTTAGGGGATTGACATGAAGTAGTGTGAATTCTTCTAATCTGTTCTTATTTTGGTTTGACTCTTGATTTCATGGTAGTATTTTTCTTTCTCCCTTGTTTATATAAGAATGAAAACTGGGGAAAAATCAATATAGGATTTGTTACCTCTGCCTGGCCCTTAAATCAGAGAAATTGCAGAAATGTGAAGCAGTTTGTAGTGTTTTCTAAGTGTGAAAGGGAATGCACTTTCTTAAGTGAGCAGTGTGATAAAGTCTCTAGTATGGCATAGGAAAAGTGTCTTAATTTGGGGCATGTGAAACAATGCGTTAAGCTTTTAAAGTAGTATAGAGCATACGGATTGAGTATGTTTTTAAAATGTATTGTCTGGTGTCTTATTCCAGTAGCTATAAGCAATCAGTAGAGGAATTTGATGGATAAGCTCTGAAAAATGCAATCCTTTTTACAGTCTGGTCAAAATTACGACCTCTTCTTGGCAGTCGCTTCCACCGATAAATAGGAGCAGCGAGCAACACCTGGAGTGGGACAGATTTTCTGCTTTGGTAACTGCAACCCTGACTGTGTTTTAGGGCTGCCATGCCACCGAACCAGACCTGCAGGCCTGCAGTGCTGCCAGAAATGCTTCTGTTCCCCATGGTGGATCAACCAGGTGCCACTGCTTGTCCGGCTTAGCAACAACTGCTCTGTGGTGGCCGTATCTGCCGCGGCAGCACGCAGCTCCTGTGTCACCTGAAAGCATTTTGATGCTCACTGAAGAGGTTTCTCGCCAGGAGACTCAGACTGGGGAAACACGTAACCTGAAAATAGAGTAGCCTTAGTTTTGAGTTATGCAAATAACATTACTTATAGAAATGCCAAATCAGAGTGGTCTGTGTTATGACAAGCAGTGATGAGTGGCAAAGACACTGCCTTAGGTGCTCAGGTCTGTACTGTACAGTATACTTCCAAGCTGTTTATGTTCTCTTTACTTTGTGGGTGAATGTTTAGAGAATTTCATACCCAGTGCTACACAGCTCAAGCTTGAAACTGATGAATTTTAAGTAATTTTGTTCCTGTACAAATTTTTTTTTTCCAGTGTTATGCTTCGTAATGCAATTCATCCCAACATTAATAAATTGACCTCCTAATAAAGTGAGGAGAGCAAAGAGGAAATTTTTTGAGTGTCGACGTAAGCTTGTACGTGGCTTGTTGCAGTTGGATGTGTCCTCATAGACTTCAGTTTGTTACTTCTGCTTTCACTGCTTACCCCCTCTGGTTTGACTGAGCCCTCTCTTCTTTAAGGTTTACTGTTATGTGTTATAAATTTGCTTTATGCAGAGAGTTTTGTCAGTCATGCACAGTTCTGCTTCAAATCTTTCTGTTGATGTTCTTGAGCAATTAAATAGTGTTTTTTTAAAAGAAACATTTAGCATTGTAGAAGTTTTAATTGGGGTTTGGCTTTTTTCTTCCACTGTCTCAGATGAGTAAGGAGTTCTGGTGTTAACTAATGATGGGGATCTAAAGGACTGTAAATGTGATTTCTGTAGAAGTGACAATGTGGTTACAACGTGCAAACCTGTAACTTGCTCTGAGCCTCGACAAACAGTGGTGCTGGGGATCCAGTTGCAAATACTTGCACGTGGACAGCATAATCCTATGGCTTAAAACCAAATTTGCACTTTCACTATGAATGGAGTTCCCGTGATGGGTTTTGACATCTCAGTAGTCTGTTGGAAGCTTCCCCTCTTTCCAAGTCCAGAAGCACACATCTGTCTTGACTTGGGAAACCGGTTGGTCCATAGGAAGAATGAGATGCTTGTACCAGCAGCTAGCCAGCTTGAGAAACGTGGAACCGCGGAAGCGTGGGGTGGTGAATAGTGTAAAGGTGCTGTAGAAATGTGGTGTGGTTGGAAAAAAATGCACAATTATTAAAGTCAAAAATAAATGAAGGCGAAGCAGGTTACTGCTGTGTTTGTCCTACCTTTGGGGGGAGCTGCTGAAGCAGAGCAGAGCTGCACGGGTGCGAGAAGCAGACGGTCATGGAGCGCTTCTATTTCCCCTGTGCCACTGCTGGGACGCTGACACACACCTTCCATCTGTGTGCTGCGGGCATCTAACAAACCTACCCTGCGTGCACAGCCAAGTGATGCACGTGTGGGTGCTGCCTGGTGCCAGGAGCGTGCTCACACAGGTTTTCCCTCTCCTTTGCCCCCATACACGTGCTGCTATGGGACAGGGGGGGGGCCTGGTGTTTGCTGCAGGCTGACTGTCACAGCCTGCAGGGAGGCAAGTTGTTCAGTCATTGCACAGCACCCTTCCTGCCCCAAAGCTGCAGGTGAGGCCTGGGACCCACAGCACACGTAGCCTGATGGGCCTGCCATGTTGAAAGCCCGGAGCCTTCTTCCAAAAGCCTTGCCAGGTCACCTGCCTTCCAGATAACTAACCAACTCTACACATGTTTCCTTTCCCACCGAGGACCCTCTGCCCTCTGTGGTCTGCAGACCATGGGAGAGCTGCTGAGAAGTGAAGGTCTGTCAGCAGAACCACCAGCCTTCCTCCCTGCCCTGTTTCACTGCTGCACAGCCACGGGGGTCCTGGCTCCCCTAATGCCTCACTGGATTTCACGGTGAATAAATACAGAACAGCTGGTAGAAGGCTCCCTCACGGTGGCCATTTCCACATGCGTTCCCTGGTCACTGTGTAAGAGCAGTGAGGAGCTGAAAAAACTGAGGAATTTGAACTTGGACCAAAGTCCACCTCTCGTGCAAACAAACAACACTCGGCTCAGTTTAGACAGATCTACCCTGGAATGCTTCTCCCCACCAATAGGTTTTTACCAGAAACCACTCACACACACCAGGATGGTAAATGAAGATACGCTTTTACTATAAGAGTCATCTTTTTGGTCCAAAACTTGAAAAGAAATCAGTGAAGGATACTTAAGCCTTCATAGTATAGAATATGGCAGCAACCTGACTGAATGTTTCAGCACGGTGCTTTGCTTTAACAATCCCAAAACAGGACACCTCCCTCCATCAAGCTGGAGGTCTCCATCTCCACCCGCAGGGAGAGCCAGCCTGGCGGCACACTCTGCAACCACCTGGGCAGCGCTTAGGAACTGGCTGCCTGAGACATATGGGAGCTGACATCAGCTAACAGCTGGTGCAAATACAGAGACTTCCTTCAGCTCTGACTGAAGGAAGAGTAGAGGGAAATCTACCTTGTTTAAATTTCATCAGCATGTAAAACGAGGGTAAAACGCCAACTTCTCATCCCACAAGGCAGCCATTTCCAGCCTGTTAAAAATGTGCATGCTCTCCCCTAAGATGTAGCTGGGAAGCCTAACCTTCTTCTGTACAGAACTGACTGTATTATTCATGGAGCTTGCTAACAGCTTGTTCCTAACTGCCATTTCTTTAATAAAGAATATGATTAAAAATGATGGTAATGAATTTCAGCAAACAAATTAACATTACATCTTTTCGTAAGTCAACTCGTGGCCGCACACAGTACACGTCTTCCTGTACGTTTCTTCATCAACGCTTTCTTCTGGTCCGTATTCATGTTCATGGATACTGGCTGTCTTCTTCCACAAACTACTCCTCACTGCACGGCGAAGCTCTGGCGAGAAATGTTAAGGTTTTCTGAGGGTTCTGAAGTGTCAGTTAACAAAATTCAAGCCACCCACCTTCCCGAGGACTGCACTTTGGCAGTCTGCTCGCTGACTGTCTTCCATGAATGTGAAGGCAAATCTGGTATGGCAAGAACAAGTTTTGATTTGCCTTGCAGCCAACGTAACCTCACCTCGTTTACATGATTTGAAAGGTACCATGAGAATAGCTCACAGGAGCTTTCTATCTGGAGGGAGCACGTGTTGCCCACTGCCTTTTTAAGCAATGCCCTTCAATGACATCTAGAAAGCTTAGATGGAACCTTCCATAAAAAAGCCTTTTGTAAAGCCACCTCCTGTTTTTTTACAGGACTGGGAAGAGCTTTCCATTCTGCTCACAGTGTGTTCTCTGAGCTTCATGCCCTGCAGTGTGAGCTGGGTGTGCAGTTGTGGCAGCGAAGTTGCAAGTGAACCGGGCGCAGACCTGCATGCTGAAAGTGGGTAGCAGGAATATTAAGCAGCAAAGGGTGGTAACGTTTTCAACCAAGTCAGTCAGGGTGCAAGCACTCTCAAGTCAAGGCCTGTCCTTGCCCTGCACTCCACCATCCTGGCTGCAGTCTGCTGCAATTCCCATGCTTGCTCAATCCTATGTTCTGCCTCCTCCGGGCTCAGTGAATGAGAACCTGAAGCTGAGCAGGCATGATGTGGGCAATGCAGACTCTGGCTAAGAAACAAACGTGCAGTTGTAAAAACAGCCAGCGTGTCGGAGCTGAAAGCATTGGTCAGAATTACTCCAGCTGAAAACTCTTCTAAATGTTAACTTGGAATAGTAAGGATGATAACCACTAAAAAAACACAAGCTGGGAATGCCTAAGGCACACCGTGCACGATACCAAAGAATTGAAAAAGCTCTGTAACACGCTGTTTGTTGAAATTAATCTCTGGTCAGCTCTGAGAGCAGACCAGACTGCTCCCAGCTCAGTGCCATGGGCCACGATGGACCTCCATTTTGTCATACTGAAAACTGAGCATTTTGGGCAGATGGAGGAACGAACTGACAGAACTGCTTTAGGTACAGCATTGTCCAGGTTTACCCATTTACCTTTCACTTTCTTATCAAACTTCTTCTGTTTCATCTTCTCTCTGCTGTCACGGCGCTGCTCCTTTGCTTCTTGCAAGGATTCCTCATTCCCCCACACTTCCAGAGCACGCTTGATTACCTACAGGATGGGCACAGATGTGTTTCTTTTTGCCCTGAAATGACAGGAGCATCTGACTCGCGAGCATACTTTACGCACACCGCCAGTCTCACCATGAATCCTGCCTCTGCCTTGGAAATACTGACTCACAAATCTGAGCTTTCCACGGTGCAAGGTGGGCAAGCTCACCCCAACTGAAGCCCAGCTGCAATTCCGTGCGTATTCAAGCAGAGCTGCAGTGTCCTTAGCAAAGCAGCAGACGAGAAGCTGCCACTCCTGCCACGGGCCATGCAGGACCGTGCTGCACACCGTGCTCTGCACCACGAGGCCGTGCACCTCTGCTTGTGCAACACGGGCAGGCAGACCTGCGTGCTGGATGCCTCGACAACACTCTCACACGTGGATGTCTGCGTGGGTTTGGACCACACCTCTCTACTTCAACCACAGAGAGAATTTACACAGCTCGACTGAACGTTCCCACCCTTAGCAAACGGTTCAGAAACCCTAACTTAAGTTACAGCTTTGGGTTATTGGCAAAGTCAGGCAGAGGTAAGAAGAGCTGGAAATGTCCCAGGTTTCTCTGTACCTGCAGTTTTAAGTAAAGTTTCATGTCACCCCACCGAGGATTATGAGGGTTTTTCTTCACAATGAATCTAAGCACCGGTTCCCTCTTATCTAAGTCACAGTCTTTCAGAAGATACTCTTCTTTTGCTTCTGTCCTTGTGATGAGCTTATGTTTATCTTCAGCATCTCTGGAAGATATAAAGTAACAATGAGAAAGCTGCCTAAGCACTATTTAGTCTCCCAAGTTCCCATCAAGACTGCATGCATTCCTGAAATTCCAGCAGAGCAACAGCCCCCATCCATCCCCTCCGTTTTTATGCATGCAGCTCACGGGGAGTTCCAAGGACCCAGCTGAACTGCAGGACAAGTTTCCCGGGACCGAGTCCCATTTCAGCCAACAGACTTAGCATCTTTTGTCTGAAACCTGAAGGGCTTTCCTCTCTGATTTTTGTTTTCTCACAAAGAACGCAACCCCTGTGCCACGAAATCACGAATTGTTTCGGGCACTTCTCCCAAGCCGGGAGCCATTCAGGGGACAAAAGCACGAGCCCAACACATGGCCGGGAGCTAAGGAGTGTGAGCCAGGCCGACCGGCCGAGTCACAGCCCCGGATCGCAAAGGTGAGCAACGCAGACGGCTTCCCACTGCCAGACGGAGAGCGGCAAGAAAGCCAAAACCTGGAAATATTAAAACGTACAGCTTGCAGATGAAAAGCTGTCTGCCCACGGCGGCATTCGTCAATTAAAGGCAAAATAAATAAATAAGTAAAAATAGAATAAAATTCGCATTATCCCGTATCCTGAGTTCAGCTGGGATCGCTCGGTACGGAGCAGCTCCGCCGGGCAGGAAGCACCGAAGCCGGCAGCAACGCAGAGCCGCGTGCGCGCCCGCAGCGCCGCGGAACGGAAGGCAGCGTGAGCCCTCCGCCCATCGCAGCTCCCGGACGGAACTGCCCACCGACCGCTTCCCCGCTCCCACGGCTGCACGTGGCTACCTGCCCGCGGAGCTCCCGCAGCCATCTTTTATTCTCCACCCATTCATTGCTGAAACGGTGGTTGGCTGCGTCTCCCCACCCCAGCCATCTCCGCGGCGCTTCCAGCACTTTCTCCGCGCTAAGGGGACGCGATGGGGCTCACCGACCCGTCCCCTACCGCGCCATCCCCACCCCCACCGGCCTCGGGCTCCGCTCCCGGCCTGCCCCGCTCTGCCCTCCCTCCCCCTCCCCGGGCAACGCTCCTTCCCTTCCCCTCCCCATCCCCCGCACCCCACCTTCACGCCGCCATGCGGCATGCACCCCTCCCCCCGCACAGCCGGCGTTACTCAGCGCGCTGCCCGGCTCCCCGCACCCCGCAGTGCCGCACCCGCGGGGCAGCACCGTCACCTCCCCGCTTTCGCAACGCGGGACACAAAGGTCGGCGCTGCACCTCCCGTCTGATGAGTTTTTACGATTAACTCCGTGCTTCGGACGGAAGGCTACGGTAAAGAAATGAAGGCTCGCCCACTGTCTGCAATACCTGCAATTATCACACGTGGCCCAATCAAAGTGCTGCATTAGGTACGAGTCCATGAATTCTTTGCCACAGTCTCCACAGATGAGATAGTCAAATTCTAGCACGGGCGCTAACAGAAAGAAAGATCTCGTTTTTTTCCTTTTCTTGTCAAGAACTACCGCGTTAAACAGAACGCAAGCGAGTGGTACTGCAAGCAGCTTTACTAACATTTAATTGTATTTCACACGAGTCGTTACACACCGATTCCAGTTCTCTGTAATAAACGGTTTTCCACGAAGATACAATACAGATGCAAAGCCATCGCCATGCGCCCACACCCCGCCCCGGCGCATTTCTACACTTGCTGGAAGTTTCCCTGCACCAAGCGTCAGGTTTCAGCATTCAACAGCACACGCCTCGGTTTCCGTTTAACAATGGCTAAGAAACGAAGCAGGACCCCCCAACCCCCCACCACCACCACGGTTCCCTCGCGGCGCCTCACGCCCGCTCCCACCGCTCCCTCCCCGCGGCCCACATCGCGACCACGCGGCACGGGGCTGCAGGGAGGGCCCGGGGAAGGGGACGGGTGGGAGGAAGGCGGCGGGGGGCGGCGGGGCAGCCGAGCCTGCACTGAAACGGCCTCAGCTCGGCCGCCCGGCGCCCACCCGACACGCCTGCACCTCCCGAGGGCTCGACGGACGCCCGGGACGGCGGGCACGGATCCGTGTTCGGCCGGCAGCAGCGGGGGTGGATGGCCAGAGAGCTGCTAGGAGTGGAATGGGGATGGAGCTCCACTACAATCCTCTCCCCAAGCCCT